AGGGAGCAAGTAGAAACGAGACAGCCACTTGCTCAGAATGGTTTTAGGAGGAAATAATGCATTGGACAAAAAGGTTGAGGAAGATAGCTAGAGTCTCTTCCACCCCCAATTCTGTGATTTCTTGAAGTGTACCTATTGCTGGCCCTCAATCGAATAATGAAAAATGGGTTGGTGGCTAGTAGACAGCTGCCTCTCTAGATGTCAGGTGGCTTTGCTGTGTGCTCTGTAGCACAAGTGGGTCTTTAACTAGTATCCTACCTTAGCGTCCATTACTCCCCAAGTGAAGTGGTAACATATGTAAGATTGACTTTTTTTTTATCCCACTGAGGTCTCGACCCTTTAAAGAAGGCTTCTCCTCAAGTGTAAGGAAAAGCAGATGGTAATGAGGAAATATGCATATTTTATTATGCACTGCACATTCTATTTAGCAGAGTTTTTGGTATGACACCCTGCATTTTAAAGAAACCTAAAGATGCAAACATAATAAAATTATTCATTGAAATATTCAAATCAGCTTCCAGCAATTATAACAGAATATCAAAATAAAATCCAGCCATACCTTGAAGGTAGATTCTTCTGGCCACCCGCTTTGAAATCGGACTTTCTGGGAGGAAGCTCTTCCTTTCTGAAAGAAGGAAGAAGTGCAGGCTCTTTGAGATGAGGGAAGGAATGGAAGTATCCTTGCTGAGGTCACGTGGGGGCTGCAGCTCATGCTGGGGAGAGATGGTGGTGGGAATGAGGGCGAGTAAATGTACCAAGACATTCTCTTGTTGGAGAGGAGAGCTGGGGGCTGCAGAGCTGCTGCTTCCCTTCCCCTCTCCCTTTGCTGAGCGAGTCATCCTTCCTGCCCTTCCCATTTGCCAGCCCCACGTCCTACATAAGGTGTATGAGGGTTCAGAAGTCGCAGTGGAGGAACAGCATGTAGTTGAGGGGTGCAAGATCAAAGTGGCAAGAAAATAGGGCTGTGAACCTTGGGCACAGTACCCTTCTGCTAAAGACATCCCAGGAGTTAATCTTCCCCGTGTACACTGGTTTCAACCCAATAGCACAATTGCATCTCTTAGATTTGTCACCCTAAGGACTGGGAGACATCTGGTACTTTAGCTTCTATTAATTCTTGAATATTGTAAAACCTGATAAACAGTCATACATCACGTAGCCGAGGACAGTGGAAGAACAGTTCTGGAATCAGACAGACCTAGCTCTTCCACCCATTGTCTCTTTGACCTAGAATAAATTAATCTACCCTTTCATTTCCTCAGCTGTAAATGAGGAACAGTACCATCATTGCATCATTCAAGTGCGTAGCAAGCCTCTGGTATTAAGCAGGGCTTCAATAAATAATGGCTACTCTGCTGATTATAATAATGCTTATTAAGTGTCCCTCTGAGACCGCCTCTTGGGTACCTCATGATGGGAATGCTTCCATTGTTGGGTTGTCCTTGTGGTGAGAATTTTCTCTGCCACATTTGTACCTCGTTCTCTTTCTTGTGACTTCTAGTCTGGCTGTTCCTTCTAAGGCCCCACAGGAGAGGTCTCAACCTTTCCCCAGAAACAACACGTCAAATATTCGAAGACAATTCTTGTATCTCTTCTGTTTTTTCTCCATGGTAAACCTATTTAGTTCCTTGAATAATTTCAATGTGACATGGTTTTGCTCTTACCCAGGACACTTCTAAGCCCCTCTCCCTAATAAGCAAGCCCCCACAGAAAGAAGGTGGCCGGCCAGAAAGGACAGTTGAGACAGCAGCCTTAGATTCCGTCCAGACTGGTTAAGCCTGTGACTGTCCGTAGCTCCTGTGACTATTCTGTCATAGGATATCCTAAAAGCATAGCCTAAAAATACGCTTCAGAGTCTCTCCTGCTTTGTGCGTGATATACAGGAATCTGAACACTTCCACCTCTATGCGGAAAGGTGCATTGTAAAAACTCTGCTGTCAGATGCTAAATTTAAAAGTTCCTCTGTAACTGTGGTAGATTTGAATGCATTATTGCCCCCCCACCCCCAATTTTTCAGCTTCCTTGTATCAGTGATCTTTTCCATCTGACTCTACGAGTCCTACACTTTGACTTCGATTTAACAGAGTGGCTTGCTTTGACCTGCATGGTAAGGCAGAGTGACAACATGCCGGTTCTAAGACTAGGCTTAAGAGGGCCTTGGCTGTTGCCAGTTGTCCCTCTATAGGCTGCCATCACCCTGAGGGGAAGTACCTTGGCTCGCCCCCGCCCCAGAGAGCTGAGAGCATGTGAGACAGGGCCTCCAGCAAAGGCCAGTTCACATACACTAGAGAAAAAAAAATAAGTGATTACTGTTTTAAATAAGTGAAATTTTTTTAATGTAGATGTTTTTATGACAAGAGATAACTATTAAAGTATATGCGTCAGAAAACAGAGAGAACAATGCTAGCCTTACCTTACCAGAACATAAATTTAGAAGAATTCATGTAAGATTTCTAAAACTATACTCAGGCTATATGAATATATCATAAAAGTGATTTATTACATTGCATCTGTGAACAGAAAGAAAATAAATAGTTCTATTTTTTTATCATTGATGAAATGGCTAATAAGAAAAGGAAAATCACTATCTAAAGATATTTGAAAAGTTAAGGGGTGAACTATTCGATATAGTTTGCTCATTTACTCAATAAATATTTAATGAATACCTACTGTGTGTCAGCACTGTTTCATGCCCTGAGATATGATTGTGAGTAAAACAAGAGTAGTGGAAATTTGGAAGATTAAAAATTAAAAAGATAACTTCCTTTCATAAGTGCTATGAAGAAACTCAGGCAGGGCAGCGGCTGCCTTAGGGAGCTTAAAGACAGCTTCTCTGAGGATAGGACCTTGCAGATGAGAGCTGAATGACATGAATGTGTCAAAGGAAGAAAGACCACATTGAAGGGAATAACACGTGCAAAGCCCATGAGGTGGGAATAGGTTGGGGGTGCGAGATATAAAGAGACATGTGGTATGAACTGAAGTGGTAACCATTGCAAGGGATGAGAACTGTGGCGCTCCATCGATCATAGTAAGGCGTTTGTGTTCTATTAAAGTGCCATGGAATCCATTAAAGTCTGTTAAGCACATGACCTGACCATTGGATTTTAGGAGCTCACTCCTGACTGCTGTGTAGAGACTGGATTGAAGTAGACAAGAGTAAGGACAGGGAGGTCGATGAGGTTATATATCACAGAAATAGCTACAACAAATGTGATGGAAAGGTGGAGAGAAATGGGCATGGTTGAGATATATTTTGAAAGTAAATGAAGACTTGATGGATTGGATGTGAGGGGTTGAATAGCTGAGAGGGTGGTTGATAGTGTGCCAGTTCCTAAAATGAGGAAGATGGAGGGAAAATGGGCTGGAAAGAGGGGAGGTCATTTTGTTTGAATGCGTTTAAATTAGACATCTAGATGGACCTACTATGCTGGGTGTTGGGCATACTAATTAGATGCTCAGTGATGAAGCTGCACCGTCATCAGCATACAGATGTTATTTTTTTCTGAAGAACTAGGTGAGTTTACCTAGAAAAAAAAGCCATTTTTTTAAATTGAGATTTAAGTCTTACATTTTTCAAGTTGTTAGAAAAAAAGAAGTGGGGTCACGAAGCCACAGAGTACTCTGACATTTAAACACTCAGCAGAAGCGCCTGAGAGAGAAGCCAAGAGTGTGGTGTTATGAAAGCCAAGAGAAGAAAGTGTGTCTGGAGGGGTTATTGTGTTGGTGCCCAGTGAGGGTGGAGCCATGAAGGAGAGGCCAGCCCGCAGCAGAGGGGAGGGAAAAAAAAATCCTAACTTTTCTCTCCTCCTCTTTCCTTTGGATGCTTCCTGCTAGTTGATCCCAACAGTGATGTAGCTGGCAAGCGAGCCCAGAATGCAGTGCATGGTGAAGGGCAGAATAATCCGCACAGCCCCTAACCCTTCATGCTGTAAATGTTGAAAAGACGAGAAAACCACTTAAAGGGGGATCTTGGGAAGCAGTGCCAGTGTACAGAGGGTGTCTTGTTAGCTGGTGCCACTGGAATTTGGGAAGATCTAGCTAACCGTGCTCTTTGAGACAAGTCATCATGGGTACTTGCAACCAGCTCATCATCTCCAAATAGTGTTTGCCCATAGTCTTCCTCCTTTATTTCCATGTGGAGGCCTGGTGTCCATAACACCAGACAAGTGTCTGTTCCAGGACCTCTCATTCGCACGAGTCTCTTCCAAGGGCATGGGAGAAGCCTAGACGTGTGTAACATTTGCAGAAGTTGGTATCTTTGCTGTAAGCTATTGAGACTTTTTTCACTCTGACCTTAGAAAGGACTCCGCCTCCCACAATTATATGCATTTTAAGCTCCACAATACCTGGCTCTACTTCTGCTTTTAGTAGAGTGGATGGTACATATTGTATTTTTTTTCCCCAAGATTCTACCACCTTGCTGGTGGGGTAATTAATAAGCATCAAAATGAACCTTTTGGGGAGGCCTCCCTGGTGGTTAAGAGGTTAAGAGGTTAAGAGGTTAAGAGGCACAAGGGGTTAAGATGCAACCTATGAAGCTGTCCATGGGCACTGCAGCACGAGTTCGATACCCGGCCAGGGAGCTACCCACATGGCGAGGCAGACCTCTCCTGTCTTGCCTGCTGCTCCCCTCAGCAGTGTATTTCAGTCCATCTGCCTGTTCTGTTCCCCACTCTGTCTCTGGTGAATCCTTTCACCCCCCCATACCTCTGGCCTGTACCCCAGCTCTTGTATGCATAAATAAATAAATCTTTATAAAAAGTGAACCTTTTGGGAAGGGAAGAATGCAGCAGGAGGATAAGAAAAGCAAAGAGGGGGAGGGATATGTGTGTATGGGGGAGGGGGTGGGCAGTGGGAGCAAAGCACTCTGCCTGAGGCCAACCCCCTTGATGGGTGGGGGTGTGGGGGGATGTCTGGTTGTCAGGTTCTCAGGCAGCCCCTCACCTGACTGATTTCTCTCTGGGGCCTCACTCAGAAGCTGCTCTTTGTGTTTTCAGATGCAGATGGAAACCTGTGCCGAAGCAACCAACTGTTGCAAGTCATACTGACCATGCACCGAATTATCATTTCCTCCGCCGAGCTGCTCCAAAAAGTTATCACCCTATATCCTTTTGCACAGTGACTGGCACCCCAAAATGGGGTTCATCCAGGAATATGAAAAACCAAAGTATGATTCCATTTTGGTTTGGCTAGCGCTGAGTGGTCAGTGGGTTCTGTATTCCTTTCAGGGGGTGTGTGTGTGTGTGTGTCTGTCTGTCTGTGTGTGTCTGTGTGTCTGTCTTGTTGGTTGGGGTAAGAATTATTGAGACTGATTGCTCTGGGGAGTAGCCAGAGAAAGCAACCTGCAAACACAGTTTTCTTCAGTCTCTCTTTCTAGTAAAAACAGCTTTCCCTAATTTAGATCAGTCAGAGTTCATACTCCTCGTGCAAACTGCGGGTGCAAACCTCACACACACGATAAGCTGCTTGCTGGCTTTCCTGTCCAATGCTTCAACCTTCTCCAGGCTCTGAGGAAAGCTGCCGGCACCTCCGCGTCTGGACAGGGCTAGCCAGCACCAGCAGCCCTGCTGCCTCTGAGCCACCTCGAGGCCACGAACTGACTAGGGTGGAAAAAGCACCTGCTCTGTCCCTCTCACCAACGCCTCGGTAAGCCGTGGCCCCAAAGAGAAAAGGCCGTAGGTGGAGTGAGACTAAGTGACGGGAAGCTGTCCTTGCCACTGAGTCATGACCCGGGGCTCTTCGCAGTCTTTCCCAGTCCCCTGACACCTCCCTGTTGCCCGGAAGACCCTCAGAAGAGGAGGAAAGGAAGCCATGGGGAGTGAGTCTCTGCTCTCACCCTCGGTGAGTGGGTGAGTGGGTGTGTCCAGCCGCGTGCCGGGGCGGAGCGCTGGGAGCAGGTCACAGAACAAGAGGTGCAGGCAGGGATTCTAAAGCTGTAATAAAACAAACTCTGCATCTCTCCGGGTTTTGTGAGCTGCACGTGCCAGCAATTCTGCACACTGTCAGAGGCTCCAGTCGCCCGCTGCAAACACTGCTGGTGGCGCAAAGACTAACTTGTCCCTGGGGTGCCCGCCTTGGTGTCCCCCGGCCCCCCACCCACATGCTAGGCTGGGGCCCTGCTCCTCCTCGCCCGCTTCTCCCCAAATCTTACTCCATCGCTTACCTCCTTTTTAACTCTTCCGTGGCACCTGCTCATCAGCCTACATCACATCCAGGTCTCCTGAAAATAAACTGCTGAAAATAAACTGCTGACCCTGCCTCCCTTTCCTGCCATGGCTAGGGTTACAAATGTGATGTGCAAAATTCTTAGAAGAGTCTTTACTCAGTGTCTCCAATCCCTCAACTCCCACTCACCCCTCAAGTTAGCTGTGGCCCCTGCCGGGAGGTCACGGCTGCGGCTGATGTCTCCACGGCCTGGCTGCTCCGGCCCCTTGTGCACACGGACACTGGAGACGGCCAGGCTGCTCCAGCTGTCTCCCCTTGGGCTCCTGACACTGTGTTCTCCTGACTCGCCTCCCCCCGGGCTGTGTCTCCTGCAGCTTTTCTGCTGGCCTCTTCCGGGAGGCCCCTGAAGTCCGGGAGAACTGGCCTCCACGCGTCCTCGCGCACCGCGTCCTGCTGCGGGGGATTTCTCCCGGGGCCTCCCTCCCTCCGCGGTGCCGGGGGCTTTTAAGACCATCGGTTGATAAGCCAAACTCTTTTTCCCCCTGGGTTGCTTTGGACAGGCTTGTCCTGAAGACACCCCAGTTCAGACATAACCCATGGGCTTGCTGCCACCCCAGTAATTCTGATTTGACACTTGTGTCAGTTTCCGTTTCGGTGTGTGGTGTGTCATCACCCACGGCTGCTCGGCCACAAAGTCGCAGAGGCGCTCTCCACTGCTCCCTGCCTCTCACCTCTTGCGGAGCCTTCACCCGAGCCAAGGGCTTCTCCTTCGGAGACGACTCTGCTCTGGGCTGTTCTCTCGGTTCCCGTGGGACGCTGTTCTTCCAGCCTCGTCTGTGTGTCCTCCTACTGTTCATTTACCCACCATGGAAGGCACTCCCCTAAGAAGCAGATCAGGGGGACCCTTGCTTCAGTGGCTCTGCAAAGTACAGGAGCGACAGCAGGTTCCTCAGTCGCCAGGAAGGAGCCTCCTCAGTCTGTGGCCCTCCTGCTTCATCCCGAATCTCGCGGGAGGCCCCCCGCAATCCCTCCACGCGAACTTCTCAACACGCAAGACATGCTGGGCCCCTCCCAATTCCGGTGCCTGGAATGCCTTTTCCTCCTCCTGCAAAGCTTTTGCTGACTCTTTCAGTCCACCCCACCCCTTTAAAAATACGTCTTGTATCAGTGGTGGACAGCCTGTGTCATGGCTACGACTTCAATTTCGTATTGCTGAAGTCAGAGTGGTTCTCACATCTCTGGCTTGGATGTAATCTGCCTTGAAAAGCGTTTCACCTGTGACAGCAGAAAGAGAGTTTATTCTCTTAGCTAAATGAATTGCTCTGTCTGCACCTCAGCCTATAAGTAAGTGTCAGGGTAACATCTGGACACCCCACACTGATGACCGCGTCAAGCAAACAGCAGAATCTTTGCACATACTTACTCAGTTGACTTGTAACATAGCAGGTTGTAAGGGCGCCGGAGAACTCATTACAGGTTCCTGTAAGAATATAGGTCAGTGTTAGCACTTACTGATTTTCACATCATCTCCCCCATTAGACTGTGCCCCTCTCATGCAGGAATCAAGGCTAGATTTCTCTAGAATGTAGCTCAGTGCTCATGTGGTGAGATACCATGAATGGTGCATTACCTCCATGTGTGAAACATGGGGATTATTTCTCTATTTCCAGCAGGACTTTGAGGCAAGAAACCTGGACTCTGTTTAGGTCAGCAGCTGGGGAAGTGATTCTTAGAGGGGAGATGGACTTCCAAGAGTCCCTGTTCTGGGAACTCAGGTTAAACTTTTGAAGTCAAAACATTTTTTTTCCCTTCATGCTTAATTTCCTTTTCTTTTTTTTTTTTTAAAGATATATTTATTTATTTATACAAGCACTGGGTACAGTCAGAAGTGCAGGAGGGTGAGAGAATTCACCAGAGCCAGAGCGGGGAGCAGAGCAGGCAGAAGGACCGAAGTACACTGCTGAGGGGAGCAGCGGGCGGCAGGAGAGGTCTGCGTGCCATGCGGGACCCTCCTCCGGTGGCCAGGGAGCAGCCGGGGATCGAACCGGTGCTGCAGAGGCTGCAGGCAGCTTCGCAACCCAGCGCTCAACCGCTGCGCCACCGGGGAAGCCCAATTTCCTTGTTTTCTGACCTGGAAGGAACAGAATTGTTGCGGTAAACAAGCCAGGGAGTTTCCTGTTCCTGGTTTTCCAGTGCTGTGCCTTCATGTGCTTGATGGCCCCGTCCTCACGGGCTCTTCTGAGTGATCCAGACAGAGCCTTCGCCTGCTCTCCACTTGTATTTTGGGTCATTGACACGGTTCTTTGTGCCCTGCCATCCCGTCAGCCCACTGACATCCCCTGGCATATTTTCTTTCTTCCCTTTTCATATTATTGTTCTTAATTCTGCTGGTGGTAATTCTGAGCACTCACACATCCCCCTTCTAAGTCGCTGCTCAGTTTTGTCTCAGTTAAACTCCTGGTTTCTCAGGTGCAGGCTGAGGTCATTTGTCCCGGTCTGCAGATCTCACGGGTCCCTATGCTGGGGCCTCTCCATGTTGACGTCCTAGTGCTGTTTCTGCAAAGGGGGTGCTACAGCCCCTGGGAGCGGAAGGACCATCATCACCCTCGGACGTGATAATCAGCTGCTCACGTGACGTGGGTTTTTATCCTACTGCGAGGAGATAAAAACTATGTTCATTAAAGTATATTTTGGCACCGGGTGGGGAGGGGCAGCTTTAGCAAACCCCGCGGTCTCCGTGACAGCAGTTCCCTTTCCTTAACCTCGGCCTACCTATAAGGAAGCCCTGGCCAAGAACTCCCCGGGGCTGTGCCTGAAGATCTGCTACTTTGTAAGGTAACGTTTGTGCCTGCTTCGGGGGCTTCCTGGAGGAGGGTGGGCTCCGAGACCGAAGCAGGGCCCTCTAGCTCCCTCATGACCCTCCCTGCCTTTCCCTTCCACTGTCTGGAACGCCTCTGGGCAGCCTGGGGAGCTCAGTGCTTACTTAGGACTGGAAATTCCTCGGCACCACATGATTCCTTTTTTTCTAGTGATGGGAGCTTGAGTTTAATACTTTCTTCAAGCTTGTAGCATGGCGGCATCAAATGACCTACGGGAGAAAGACAGAGATAAGGAAGGAGCTCTTTGTTTTTATTGGCAGCTCATTCTAGAGCACGCTGAAAATATGGGAAAGAAAAAAATTACATTACTATAGTAATCATCACTCATCCAACTCCCAGCTTTGGTATATTTACTTTCTCTTTTTCTAGGCAGATTTTTTTTTTTTAAACATAATTGATATCAACACACATAAAAAGTTGTAAATTCACATGATGTAAATCTCCTCCAGTCATTAAAGGCTTTTTTTGTAAAATTTATTTTTAATGACCATGCATCATTCTAAGACATAATGAAGCAGAGTCTGTAACATACCCTGTCCCATCTGTGGACATGTGATGTGTCTGTAGTTGTGTCTCTCGTGATTATCTTTGATACATGCGATGATGCCTACATCTGTGTCATGGCCTCTGAATTGCCATTTCCTTTCCCACCAAAGCCTTTAGTAGAGGGAGGACAGAGGATGATCATCAGGTGGTTTTCTTCCCCATGCCACCCTCACCCCCGCCCAGCTCCTCATTCTCTTTGTACAATGAATGCGTTTTCATATTCCTAAGTAAGTAGAAAGACAAACCCAGCAGTCTGAGTCCTCTTCACAGGAAGAACCCATCAAGGTGTGAGTCCTTGGCTTCAGCTCTCGGTTGTACTTTTTAACACCCACCTTGCAGGTATTGGATAACAGAATTCTGGATCATGTTTAAAATGGATGCTAGCTTGACAAACACTATGGAGGAGTTTCAGGAACTGGTGAAAATGAATGGTGAGGAGCTGCACTGCCGCCTGATTGACACAACTCAAATGTAAGTGACGAGGTTTTGACTGGGTTTTGGAAACCTCCTCCCTCCTGTGATACAGTCCCTCAGGCTCTGCTAGGCTTCTGTCACCAAGGAGCCCTCAGCTGAGCAGGTTCACGCTGTCTCCCCAAAGTGAAAAGCTTGGTATTTACCAGGAAAGCAGAGGAGCCCCCTGGTGATAAAGCTGTAGGTGACTACTATCCAAGAGCAGGACAAAAAGAGTCCCAGTCAAAAAGAAATCAGGTAGCAAGATATTGACTAAAACTTATCCAGATCGTGAGAAACTGAAAGTGTAGTGACTAAATCCGTGCTGCTTTAGCGGCTAATGTCCCCTACTTTGTAAATGGGGAAGGGACTGTTGAAAAATACATTGTGCATAACATGTATGTTATATAGATGCTTGCAAAGAGAGTGTGTGTGTGTGTGTGTGTGTGTGAGTGTGAGTGTGTTGATGGAAGACACCTAGACTTCTGAGTTGGAAGGGGGTCTCAAATATTTCAAAGTATTCCCTGGATTTCTTACGTGAGATTGGCCCCTCTGGAAAAATGAGTGTCTTTCTAATTTGGGAGACAAGAGTGAACACATTTTATGTTAAGGTTTTCACAACGTGGCCACTTTATTTTGGAATTGTACAAATCCCTAGGAGATAGATTTGAGAACTGGACCATATTCTAGAGACCATTTCATCCAACACCCTGGGAAACTGAGGCTCAGCAAGGGTGTGAGTCGTCCTGGGTCACCCAGATAACTAATCGCCCAGTTAGAGGCAGAGCAGAAACAGGACACTGAGCCCCCTTAGTGTGCTAGGCCATGGGTATGTAGAGATGATTCCACAATCACATGTCATAGTCCTGACTAAATGTGGAATTTCCCAAAGCACAGACCATTTGCTGTAGACTCCTTTGTCAAGACAAAGATTTCAGGAAGACCGCTTTGAGAAACACAGATCGGCAATATTCTACCTGTCAGAACAACTGCTCCCCTTCACTACCTCGGTGAAGGCAATTGAAACTGATTAAGAAGCACACAGATTGGTGGGGGTGGCACTCTGGGCTCAACAAGGCTTCCTTGGTCATTCCAATGCCTGGAGACATTTGAGGAGGATGCCTCAGGCGTACCCAGAGTGACCTCTTACTCCCGTCCATGGTACTTTGCAGTCTGACAGCTCTCTGTGGGTCTCTCTGTTTTTTTCTGGGTGAAAACTGTCCATGATCTTGACATTTCCAACCAGAGAGAGAGTGCCTGTCTCTTCCATGACAAGGAAGGGACATCCGGAAGCATGGGGAGGGAAGTCACGCCAGAGGCCAGGCAGAGGCGCCAGGACCAAAGGCAAGGAAGCTGTGACTGGTGCCTGAGTCTCTGTCCTCCCAGGCCTTAAGCAAACCGCCTTCACCAGTTCCCAAGACATGTTCAAAAGATTCATTGAAAAACAAGATTTCCTACTTGTCGCTGTAGAAAAAATCAATTGAGGAAACTATTAATGCATTGTTTTGGCCGAGGAAAGTCAGCTAATGGTGCTTGTAGGAAATATTACTGAATTTACTTGAATTAAAAAGCAGTTTTGATATATTCATTTTCTCCATTTCTTCCTTTTACTTTACCCATAAAAGCAATTCCCGAGACTGGTCCAGGAAACTTACTCAAAGGATAAAATCAAACACCAGCAAGAAACGCAAAGTGTCTCTGCTCTTTGATCATCTGGAACCAGAAGAGCTATCTGAACACCTCACCTACCTTGAGTTCAAGTCTTTCCGGAGGATATCAGTATGTACCCAGGGGCAGGAGAGAAACTTTGGGGGATATTTCTGAAAATAAGCAGAGGAATTCAGCAGCCTGTGTACCTCCTGACCGTAGAGACAGCCTCTGTGTTGGCAGGCTTTCCCCTCAGACGTCTTGCGCTCTAGAAAATCTCTGCATTCTTTATTGCTCCTGCTGTGCTTCCCATCCCCAACTCCACGCCGCACCCCACATGCGCTCGAGTGACCATACTGTGGGCACAGCTGACCCAGCACACATGATTACCTGAGCGTACACACAGCATGAGCATGCACAGTCAACACACGCATGCGCAGATACCCCTTTCACCACTGTTCAGTCATTAGGTTTCCAGAATGAAAAAAAAAAAAAAAAAGGTTCTTCCCACACCCCACATGGAGTTTAAGTTCATTCTAGGATAGGCTTCGAATGGCTCTGGGAAGCAAAGTGGATGACACTGATCTAGCTCAGATTATACCCAAACCTTCCAAATGTTGCTAACCACTTGGAGATGAACTGCTGACTCACACCTTCCGCCGTACAACGCCTTATATGATACCAAGAACACTGTCAAGGAGAACTTGTCAGCATGCCAGTGCCAACAGATTCTTGCTGGCCAGTGTGCTTTCTTGACACATAACAGGCTTATCTGTAGCCCTAACCCCAAAGATGGTCTTCAGCTTTGCTTTAAGAAGAGAGACCACCTAGTTGCTGTGTCCATTTCTTAGAATGACTTGTGTTTGCTGAAGAGCAAATGGAGTCCCCAAAGAGTGTCTTAAACAAGGTCACCCAGCTCTGCAGTCAGTGCGTGGCCTCAGGTCTCGTGTCCCTTGGTCAGTCCACATTCAATTGAATCTAAGCTGGTTGTATGTGTCGGAACTGCAGACCTCCTTCAGGGGTTATACCGTCCTTTCTCCCGGGATGTTGACATCCCCCCTGTTTTCACACAGCTTTTTAGCCAGTCAGCCAGAAACACCTCCTCTCACCCCGGGCTTCCATTCGGAAAGCAGTTCAAGCATAAATGTGTTGGCACCGTCAGTTCCGTTGTGGTACCCCTCAGACAGAACCACAGGACCCCATCGGGAAGCTCTCCCTGGAGAGATGGCATTTGGCAATGCCTTCCCATCACAAGGACACAGAAAAGTGCCATTTATGACACTTTTGGTCAACTCTTATTTTGGTCAAGTCTTATTTGTCTACCCATCAGCAATCACAGCACAGTAACAGGGGCATGGCATGGACTTGCATTAATTTTATTAAGGCTAATACCATTCCTCAGTTAATATACTTACTAGTGAGACAGAACAAGGGTCTGCAACAACCCTCCAGACTCCCCTTCAATATCAGACACTTAATAAAGCAAAGGTCTCCCGTGGGCCCCACTGGTTCAACTAGATGCCAGGTTTCGTCTTGACACATTCCCAGTGTCTCTGTAGCAGTGGGAAGGCAAGAGGGCACATCATTCACTTACCTCACAAATCACGTCACTTGCACATGGTCACACCTGACTTCCAAGGGGGCGTTTGGAAGCGGAGACTTGGGGAGTAGCACCACAATTTGCATAGGAGCAGAGTGGACCCCTCCCCACTCTGGTTTATACTGTTGGACCAGGATTGTTGTTGGCAGGGACGCAGCAGTTCGATCCTGCTAGGTATTCGGGGACATTGCCATTTTCACATACGCTGTTTCACTGTCAACTGTCATTAGTGCTGTTCCCTCGGGAAACTGCCCAATTTCATATGCCCTGCTCAGTTGGCCTTTGCTAAGTGTGCAAGGACAGCCACACTGGTTGACTTTATTTTTTTTTAAGATTGATTTATTTATACAAGAGCCGGGGTACAGGCCAGATGCGCGGGAGGGTGAGAGGATTCACTAGAGTCAGAGCGGGGAACAGAACAGGCAGACTGACTGAAATACACTGCTGAGGGGAGCAGCGGGTGTGACAGGAGAGGTCTGCCGCGCCATGTGGGTTGCTCCGAGGCTGGTGGGGATCGAACCCGCCCTGCAAAGGATGTGGACAGCTTCACAGCGTGTCGCTCAACCTCCTGCGCCACCAGAGAGGCCCTGGTTAACTTTAGCATGAGACTAATAATGATGCTATGAGCACTACCTCGTGTTTATGGAATGTTTGGAAACATGAAACTGCTTTCACACATCATCATGCTTGATCTTCCTAACAAGGCCACATCCTGGGTGGGGTGGATGTCTCATTCCATTTGAAGTTAAGAAACCAATTAGGGGAGAGATTAATTTTATGGGCGGATCCTTTTTTCTCCCCGTTACTTCAGCAAGAGCTGAAACTACAAAAAACTGGCCTCCTCCTTTGCCCTCTCTAGGAGTTGGAAAGGACGGTTAGTATCCAGTTCAATGTAAAAGCTGACAGGTATGCACATTGTTACACCTGATGGCTTCTGCTGTAGGGGAACCAGCTGTGGGTCCATTTCCTTCCTACCATTCTCGTCACCCAGGGGTGGATGTGCAGGAGCTGTTTGTAGCCATCCTCAGAGCAGATGTGATGTGGCCCTGGGCTCTCGGAGTTCCAGAGTGGCAGTCCTGATGTGTTTTTTTTTTTTTCCTCCCCAGTTCTCAGATTATCAGAATTACCTCGTGAATAGCTGCGTGAAGGAGAACCCCATGATGGAACGGTCCATTGCCCTGTGCAACGGCATCTCCCAGTGGGTGCAGCTAATGGTCCTCAGCCGCCCCACCCCACAGCTCCGAGCCGAAGTCTTCATCAAGTTCATCCAGGTGGCGCAGGTGAGTGGACGGTTAAGACTTTGGGCCGGGGCCAGCAGGTAAATGATTCCCTATTTCCGCAAGCCGCCTTGGGCCACTGGAGCTGCTGTCCCCTTGACCTGCAGCGGCGTCTGTGGGCCTTTAACTCTTCCCAGATGCAGACAGGATGACTGCTCTGTTTGCCTTAGAAGGGCGGGATGGCGAGGCCACAAAGTCCAGGTCAGGAATCAGGACATGGTTCTCGATCTGATTAGATCTTTCACATTTTTCACAAGATGCCTCCAGGTCTATATTGTTTACCCAGATCTGGCCCGTATGGCAAGGGAAGGGATAATTCCAAATGTTCCTGAGAATGACCACCCTGAGCTTTGACAAGTTTGATCCATGCTGTGCTGACTGTGTAGGGTTAAATGTTTGGGGGGGAGGGGCAGGGATTAAGCTTTTGATAAGGGGAAGCTAGGTACTAGGAATGCATGTTTGCAGTTTCCCAGATTCAAGCTCCTCTATCCCAGTTACTCTCCTGTGTAGCTCCCGACATTGCACAGAATAAGACAAAGTCCTTGATCTCAGAAATAAGTCTGGACATAAGCAAAGGACATAAACATGATATATATTTTTTCTGGTCTAGATTCGTGTTTCTCGAGCATGGTATACAGACCACCTGCTGATACTTACTAAAGACAGATTAAAAGCAGAGATCATAATGTGAACATCTAAGCGTGGGTCCAGAAATCTCTTACACACACTTTGGAGTGTTTCTTTGACACCGTTTGTGCACAGGGCGGTCCACAGCTCAGCCGCAGTAGAGGTGTGGCGCCTTGGTGGATTTGGGTCTAAAGGGAAAAATGGGCTGAAAATTGCAAGACCTGCTTCTTAGTCTTTGACAAGCAGAGAGAGAGGCAGGTTCTGAGTTCTCAGATAACTGGCCAGGAGTGACTGTTGTTTCCTGTGTCTCATGTCTCAGAAACTCCACCAGCTGCAGAACTTCAACACACTGATGGCTGTGATAGGTGGGCTGTGTCACAGCTCCATCTCCAGGCTCAAGGAGACCAGTTCGCACGTCCCTCATGAAATCAATAAGGTGAGAACCAGCTCCTCTCTCTGAGCAGCCTGAGCACTGGGCTCTCTGCCTCAGCTTCCCCTCCTCTGCTGGGTGCTGATCTAGTGTATTCAGTCTGTGCAGCTCTGGGGTTCAGTCTGTGACACCTGCTTCCTAGACATGGGCCCCTTTTGCGAATCACTGACATGAAGGCCCCAGCGCAGCACAGAGAACGAGACCCTGCCGCCCAGGCTGCTGAGGCTCAACACACAGGACATGACTGTCCCTGTGCTAGCCACACTCGTAACGCCACTTCCAGTCGCTGCACATGGTGGTCAGTGGCCCTGGACAACGTAAGACACCAGGGCAGGGGTGAAGGAGGACATGTACTCTTCACTGGATATACACATGCACCTTTCACATTTTTGCTCAAGTGCTTCTACTAGAAAAGAGGTTTTCGTCTCTGGGACTCTCATTTCGAAGGTTTCCCATATAGCGCGTAAATCAAACAAGTAACATGCTTTTAAATAGGCTGTGATCTGGCTGGACTTTGAAGCGGGGTGTCATCATCTGTACCTTACAGGTGAATCACCCCCTCGCCTCATCACATCAGGGGCTGAGAAACGTAGGTGTTGCCAACCGTGCGGCCTGCCTGGTGGGCCCTGTGACTGGGTGTGTTTATGCCTTGTAGGTTCTGGGTGAGATGACTGAACTGCTGTCCTCCTGTAGAAACTATGACAACTACCGCCGCGCCTATGGGGAGTGTACCCATTTCAAGATCCCCATCCTGGGGGTGCATCTTAAAGACCTAATCGCCCTGTATGAAGCCATGCCCGACCACTTGGAGGACGGGAAGGTGAATGTGCACAAGCTGCTCGCCCTTTACAATCACATCAATGAGCTGGTGCAGCTGCAGGAGGTGGCCCCACCCCTGGAGGCCAACAAGGACTTAGTGCACCTGCTGACGGTAAGGAGGGCCTTTCGTAGGGAGGGAGGGGACCAGGGACCAGGGGGACGGGGCAGGGGGGAGAGAAGAAGGGGAAGGGAAGAAGAGGGGAAGGAAGGACGCACCAACCATTCCGCCTCCCCGCAGCTGTCCCTGGATCTCTACTACACCGAGGATGAGATCTACGAACTCTCCTACGCCCGAGAACCCAGGAACCACCGTGCTCCTGTGAGCCCACCCTCCTTTCCTTTCTCTGTGCCCTTTCATTCAACACAGAGGCCTGAGATGCTCCACTTTACCACACGAAACTTTTCAGAAAGACAATCGACACGATTTAATGTCTTCCTCTGTGTGGTGATGTGGGGCATGTGGTGACCTAGTCTTTCCGCCCCCTCGTGGGCTTGCTGCCCCTGTGCTGTCGTGTGCCAGGGTGGGGGCGGGGGCAGCCAGAGACCTGTGTTTGATCATCATTGTGCACATTTTTCTGGTCATTTCAGCCACTGACTCCTTCGAAGCCCCCCGTCGTCGTGGACTGGGCCTCTGGAGTCTCCCCCAAGCCCGACCCGAAGACCATCAGCAAGCACGTGCAGAGGATGGTGGATGTAAGTACCTGGGGTCCGGCTGACAAGAGCCGGGCGTGGCCCAAGGGGTGGTAGCAGCACGCAGGTGAACTACTAGCAGCTCCACTGTGTGAGCACCCTCGCCTCACATGGGGGTGGGGGGGGGAGCAGTGCCCCCTAAGGATCTGGCAGGACAGCCTATGTTCAAAGGCTGTCAGCGGATTTGGGGGCAGGGAGTGTTGGAAAGCATTTGCATAAACGAGTGCAGAGAATCTAAAACTGAACATTTCTGAAACTGCCTGATTCACCTCGTTGCAGTGCACGCTGAAGAGGGGGTGCACTTTCATGGACGTCTACATCTGGCCTGCATGCCAGTGCAGCCAGAAAGTGATGGAACAGTGAAACCTGGAGGATTAAGCTGGGGGTGGGGCGCACCTCCAACTGCACTCAGGAGGTGGTGCAGTCTGGGCTGAGAACAGAAGGGCAGAGTGGCAGGAGTACGGCAGCCCAGGGCTGAAGGGAGGTGCTCCTGGCGGAAGCCTCTGGCCTCCCTTCAGGCACGGCCAGTGGCCCGGATGTGACCCGCAGCATCCCCATCTCTGGTATGTTCTCGTGCCTCATTCAGGCTGATGAGACAGAGGCTTTTATCCAGCCACGCCAGCCCCTTTTCAACTGCCTGAAGGGACTTGTTGCTCTCTCAATCACTCAGGAAAACCTGTTTTTACAGTCTGTCTTCAAGAACTATGATCATGACCAGGATGGATACATTTCTCAGGAAGAGTTTGAAAAAATTGCTGCAAGTTTTCCCTTTTCCTTCTGTGTGATGGACAAAGACAGGTGAGGTTTGGGGTATACAGATATTTGCTTGTCAGCCTGTTGGTAAAGCAGCTTATGGGCATGTCACTGGCCGCTGGCTCTCAGGCACTCGAGGGTTGGGCAGTCTGGCTGTAGACCACGACAGGCCGTTAAAAATTGCATGCCTTCGTCAGTGCCTCAGAGTTGCAGATTTCATAAATTGCCCTTTTATGAATAATCAACTATATGTATATAAGAAAAAGTGAGTCTTCCCCTGGCTATCCCTACAGGTTGTAAGAAACAATATTTTTCTCAGTTCAGTAAGTTCTGTCAGTTTGCTGTGACACCAGATGCACCCTTGGTGGGTTCCAGTTATATATCATGCACTGTCTCCAGTGAGAGACAGTGAGAAACTGCTACAGTGAGAAACTGTAGCAGAAAGTCTTCCTCCCTGTACAGTCTCCATTTTTTTTTTCCCCCAAATCTGGTAGAGAGTGGTTAAGTGAGAAAAACCTACAGAACAATTCTGTGGAAATGAGCAATGCTAGCCCTGTATCCTTATGGGGAGCTCTTGAGGTAATGATCAGGCCATGCGCCCTGTCGACCCTTGAGGGACAAGGTGAGTCTAAGGCTAGACGCTCCTTCCCACCACCACACCCGCCCCCATTCACCTGGTCTCTCGTTTGCTGGCAGGGAAGGGCTCATCAGCAGAGATGAAATCACGGCCTACTTCATGCGGGCCAGCTCCATCTACTCCAAGCTGGGCCTGGGTTTTCCTCATAACTTCCAAGAGACCACCTACCTGAAACCCACTTTCTGTGACAACTGTGCTGGATTTGTAAGTTACTCTCACACTGCTTTAGGGTTGAAGAGGGGCACAAGGCAATTCAAATGAGTAAGCCGGGCACAGGCGTCACAGCCCCTGTCGCTGCATCCTAAGTGACCACCTAGTGCCACCCAGTCTGCAACTGCAGTTCTCGCTTGCACGCATCTTCCCATTTCGTCCCAATTTATTATACCTGATTCCCGAGGCGTGTGGTAGATGGTGGGATATGTGCATATGGGGTAGGCTTGTTCAAATGTTAGAAATAAGACAGCCTCTCCCCTTTAAGGGGAACTGCCCTTTGACAAGTCTGGGCAGCGCCTCTTCTGCCCCCCACATCATCGAGTGTCCTCCTAAACCCAGTCCGAGCCTGGGATTCCACATACGCGTCCTTAGTTTGGAATCCGCAGAAGCCTGTTTGTCTTGTGCTTCATCCACTAAGGGTCTGGAGATGGCCCGGGTCCAGTGCACCCTAATGAGTTTCCTGAACATTTGACTGATGGGCACAAACCTTTCCTCTTTTCGGTTTAAGATTAGGAGAAAAAATACTTCCCACTTGAGGTAGAGGAAGACCAGGGAGCGTAAAGAACGATGTCAGCATCTAGCCTGACAACACACAGATGACTGACATGTTGTCCTGTCTCTTTTCTCCCAGCTCTGGGGAGTGATCAAACAAGGCTATCGATGTAAAGGTAAGGCTCAGCTTTGTCAACCGCGTTGTTTCCCCCGGCCTTAGGGTTTCTCCACTGCAGTGTTTTTGCACCCACAGTGGCTGGCCATTCAGCTCACTCACAGCCGCACCTCACCCTAGCTCCTACAGCAGCCTCGTGACAGCTGCCGCCAGAGGCGAGGGCTATCTGGGGCCCTGGCCCTGCAGCTTCCCCTTACAAAGGGAAAGCACCCCTGTCCTGGGTGCTTTGGAAATAGGGGTGCCTGGAAGGAGAGTAAGCGGCCACATGATCATAGAAAGACAGGTTCTTAATGGAAGGCACAGAACTAATTCTGGAACAGAAGGGATTACTAAAAAAGCCCTTGTCAGTTTTTCTTCTCCCAGTAGCTGCCTGCCTTGTGACTAGAGAAGTTTAGGAGTGAACGAGAGAACTTACACTTCCCGGAAGGGAAGGGAAGACCTGACAGCTGGGACCCTCCAGCGCGTGTCCTCAGAGCAGGCAGCTTGTGCAGCATCCCAAGGACAGCACCTCCTCCCTCCAAGCTCACAGGAGGAGTCCAGGACTGTGAGGTCCAGAGCTGAGCAAGTGAGAAAAACTTGAGTTCCTGAGGAATGTTAGGTGTCCCCGTTCCAGACACTAGGAGAGGCAATGGGTGACAAGAGATCGCTGCATGAGTGAGGTTGTGACTGGAGAAATAATTCCTGAGCAAGGTGTCTTCTCCACAGACTGCGGGATGAACTGCCACAAACAATGTAAAGACCTGGTTGTGTTTGAGTGCAAGAAGCGAGCCAAGAACCCAGCAGCCTCCACAGAGAACAGCACCTCTGTGGGACCAGCATCCAGCCTTTGCTCACTGGGTGCCAAAGACCTGCTCCACGGTAAGACTGGAAACATCCTCCCGGGAGAGAGGTGATAAAATACGGGGGTGGGTGATTATCTCCGTCCTTCCCACTCTTCACGGAAACCACCACAAATACTAGTGTCAAGGGCATGCCCTGTGCATCAGGCCCCCTGTGTTTTAAGAGTTACTCATCGCCAGCAGTAACAGTTCCATCACATGCAATGCACGTCTTCATGGGGGCAAGTGGCTGCCCATACCAACTCCCAAACAAACATGGTAGACAGGGGCTGTAGCTCGACTTTCACTTCTCCAGTCATCTCCTCCCTGCCCGACCCCACCCACATCAGAGAAGGCCTTCAAACACTGCCTCAGGAAGGACACTCATGGGCAGGGTAAATGTGGGCAGACAGTGGGCAGCACATGCACAGCTGGAGGGTGACCGTGTCCTAAGCGGTGCCTGTAGTGGGGACACTTGTCACCCATTCAAATTGCTTCTATTTTGTAATGTTCTCTCCAATGGAACCTGCTTGTCAATTCAAAATTTCCAGTGAATTTTTTTCCTTAGCCCATTATCCTTCTCAATCTCATTGTACCTGTTTATCCACTTTTCCTTTCTTAAAAACTTACACCTCCTGGCTTTTAGAATCACTTCTGCAATTTTAAGGGCTCTCTTTTTATTTGCTTGCTTGTTTCCATTTGAGGAGGAGACACTTCTAAGTTTCTTTAGCATTTCTGCCTCACAGAAGTGTTGGTGTTCATAATTTGGACTGGTAAATATAGAACTGACAGAAAAGGTGGAAGAGAGACACTGGTGTTGTCCAGAAAGCCTTCTGCCCATACCAACCCAGTGTCTTGGTTACAAAAAGTCCCCTAACTCCCCTGCACTGGATACCTGCGAAATGAATCCATTGTGGACCCAGGGCACTCCTGTAACAAGGAAGGTCTCATCTGAAACTACGGAGTCAATTTTGGATGATGCTTTTCAGCGCTAAGTAGTAACATGTCCTGTATCTCCCTCCAGCCCCTGAAGAAGGACCTTTCACATTCCATAATGGGGAGGCTGCGGAACATACTGAGGAAAGTAAGGATCGGACCATCATGCTCATGGGAGTGTCCTCGCAGAAGATTTCTGTGCGGCTGAAGAGAACTGTCGTCCACAAGGCCACCCAGACTGAATCACCATCTTGGCTCGGCAGTGAGGGTCCTCCGGGCCCCTTTGTGCTGTCATCCCCCAGGAAGACAGCCCAGGATACTCTCTATGTGCTCCCCAGCCCCACGTCTCCGTGCCCCAGCCCACTCTTGGTAAGAAAGCGGGCTTTTGTCAAATGGGAGAATAAAGAATCGCTCATAAAAGCAAAGGAGGACCTCCGTCACCTCAGACTGCCCACGTACCACGACTTGGAACAGGTACCTACCTTTTCCTTTTATTCAGGCTCTAAGAGAAGTGAGGCTAAATGAAGGAAGAGCATGAACATGGAGGATAAAAAGATTCTGGCATTTGCCCAAAGAAACCAGGGTGGGGACCCTGGCTCATAGCCCTTGAGTGCAACAGGCTGAACCACACTCCCTAGTGCCAAAGAGGTGCCAGTTCACGCCCCCGTGCTGTTCACTGGATGCCTTGAGAAACACCAGTTTCGATCCCTCAGCTTCACGATGCTGACTCCACACCACACCCTTTTGCTAGGTAGAACATTAAATGGCCTTACCTACATCTTCCCCTCTAGAGGACCCGTCAACCTCTCTTCAGGGCTGTTTTGACACCGTCATGGTTGACTAGGCCTCTTCCTAAAAGGTAGATGATCAGTGTGCTACAAAAAGGAAAAAAAGTAGAGCTCACCATAGTCCAGCCTCCCTCTTGATAGGATTAAGGGCAAACACATCAGGTATAGACTCTATAAAATGGTAATCACTGTAGTACCAGGAGCTGCTTTTTGGTTTTTTTGTTAGGCTCACAGTGTCTTACATACAGGCACCTCATGGAGGGACAGAAAAGACAGTTTAGCCACAAAAGAAAACAGGAGTTTGAGAATAGTTATCAAATTGAAGAAAGAAATAATGAGGTTTAAATAAAAGAGAAAAACAGAGTAGGAGAGGGGACAGCTGGGGACATCAGGCAGTTAGCCAGAAACAATTCTGCAGAGTCCATTACTAAGGTATTACATTTTTGTCTAGAGGACAAAAACTCTCAAGGTCTGGCTTAGATGACTTGTGAGAGAATTTCTTACTGCTGATAGGTAACTTCAGTCCTTCTAGAGAAAGAGAAGAGGGCCTCCCTGGAGGTACAAGGAGTTAAGTCACAGCACTATGAAGCTATCTATCTGCAGCCAATATAGCACGAGTTCGATCCCCGGGCAGGGAGCTACCCACAAGGTGCAGCAGACCTCTCCTGTCTCGCCTATGGCTCCCCTCAGCAGTGTATTTCAGTCAGTCTGCCTGTTCTGCTCCCCACTCTGTCTCTGGTGAATCCTCTCAACCCCCACACCTCTGGCCTGCACCTCAGCTCTTGAATGCATAAATCTTTAACAAAAAAGAGAATCAAGAATACATTCATCCCGACATTATAGTTCTCTTTCTTTATTAAATGGGGGTTTGCCTGTGTGCTGCCCTTAAAGTTTTGGAGAAAAGGAAAGTTTTTGAGTACCTACTAATAGACATAAAATCACAACCCACCTAGCTAGAATCCCTGAAATATTATATTATAAATATTATGTTATTGTACTTTATATTAAAGTCAGTCAGTCCCAGAGGGGTGTAGGATTTCCTGTGTTGTCCTGAATATTATACCTCCTTCCCTGTCACACTCTCAAGAGTTGAATTAACTCTTGCTGTGATCTGTGGAACAAAGAATACAACATTAGGAACAGAAACAAATTTTCTGGATTAAAGGTACTGTCTTGCTTAGAGTATTTTTCAGACATGCTTTGAGAGTCAAATCAATCAGAAGGTAGCTAAAGTGTGGGTTTTGCAGAAGCCTTCTCTTTAAGGTGAAGAAAATACTGAATGGAATTTTTAACAGCAAAGAGGGAAACATTGAAAAGTGTACTTGACTTTGGTCTTGGGGACAAAGATTTCTGTTTGCAGGCCTAGATATATGTTGGCTGTAAAACTAACCTATTTAATCCTCCGTAAAATTTAGGATTAGGATTCCACATCCTTTACATTTTGCTTCAGATCTTAACATTTCATAAGCCTAGGGAAAGAAACAACACATTGGTAACAATGGCCGCCTGCTAAAAGAATGTGGGTGCTTGATTTCAGATGAGCTAGGTCCGAAAAAACTCCTACCCTGTGTGACACCAAGTGGGCCGGTAAACCCTCTCACCTCCCAGTTGCCTCTCTTTACATTCATCCTTATCAGTGGCTCCCAAAGGGGCAGAACTGTCTGAAAGCACTATTTGAGCCCCACTTGCCCACTGAATAAAATCCTTACAATCACTTGTTTATATGTAATTCACTGGTTCCATTCATAGTAACTAGTCAAATCAGTCTTGAAGAGCAGGAACTTGCCTTTCACAAACAACTCCACTACTAAGCATGTAGGCGTTCCCCCTGAAAACCAGCTGAACAGCACATACACGTGAAAGGATTCAATGATCACAACAAGGCTAGGAGAAGCAGAGAAACAGTCTTGCCCGGAACTCCAGCATGAGCGTGGCCACCCATATTTTGGCGGGATCCCACAAATACGACGCTTTTCCCAGAGGACTAAGAGGTTTGTGACCCACATTAAATATCCCAACCCTTGAGACCTATACTGGAGAAACTAGCGGCAAGAAGTACAGCTTTTGAAAACAGACCTTTTGTGAAAGGGACCTATAGAGCCGTAGGGAATAGGTTCCAATTCTAAAGAACTCAAGAACTAGCTCATTTCAACCATGACCAGCAGTTTGAGACATGCCTAGATTCATTTGATGATCTTAAAGCATCAGCCAGAGTGGGTAGGAAACTGGAAAATGACTGTGGAGATGCCAGCAGACACCATGTTAGAAAGTACTGCTCTAAACGTGGGTAGTACCTGAGGGTGAACCACACTGCCTGCCAGAGCTGGCTGAGGAGGAACATCTGCCTGTTGTGGGAGCAGAAGGACTCACGATTCTCTTTCTAGGCCCTACAGATCTAAAACAGTTCTTGGCATCTGCAACAACCAGGATCAAGAAAAAAAATCTGACTCCTTAGACAATCACAAAGGTTCGAGAGATGATCAAAAGCTAGGGTAATGTTGAAAGATAAGGTTCATCTCTTGTACAAGGCCAGTTTAAGACTCAGCTAGCAGTTTAATTCTGAGAAAGAGAGGCCAAGCAAAGGACAGACACAGAGGATTATGTTCTGAATAAACAAGACCAGCAAAATATGACCAAGATTTTAAAGTTATAGTCATAAAGATGCTCACTAAACTCAGGAGATGCATGGTTTGGTGTAGGCCTGTTGCTGTGTTTCCCTTGTGCTCTTGGAGTCATATCCAAAGAAAAACAAGGACTGCTAAGGCCATTGTCAGTGTTAGCAATTTCCACAAAGAGGGAAATGTAAGAAAGCTCCAAAAGCTGAAAAACAGAGTAACGGAAAAACACACTAGTGGGATTCGACAGCAACCAACATTGAGGTTTCAAACTATTAAAGCTACAGTAATCAAAGCAGTATGGAAATGGCATAAATAAAACCACATCAATGGACCAGAATAGAGGCTAGAAATAAACCCATACATACATGACAAAGACAAGAATATGCAACAAAGGACAGTCCCTTCAGTAAACACTGTTGGGAACTGGACAGCCACATACCAACGGAAAAAGCACACACACACACAAACACAAACCTGGACCACTATTTACACCACACACAAAAATTAAAATGAAATAAAGACTTTAATGTAAGACCTGAAATCATAAAAATCTGTTAAGAACACATGGGCAGTAAGTCCTTTGACAGTCCTTTGACAAGGACCAAGGACAGTGGTCCTTGTTTTTCTCTGGCTATGACTCCAAGAGCACAAGGGAAACAGCAACAGGCCTACACGAAACCAGAAAGCACTGGATAGCAAAGGAAATCAAAATGAAAAGCCAACCTACTGAATGAGAAAAGATAATCTACAAACCACAGTGAGACACCACCTCACCCATCAAAATGGTTATCAAAAAGATGCGAAGTGTGTGCTGGTAACGGTGAAAAGAGAACCCTTACACACTTAGTGAAAATGTAAATTGGTGAAGCCACTATATGGCTTCAATATGTCGTTCAAAACAATGTCATTTTCTTCAAAAAAAAAAAAAAAATTAAAACTATCATATGATCCAGTAGTTCTACTCCTCTATATTACCTGAAGCAAAAGAAACCACTAATTAAAAAACTATGTGCACCCAATATTCCCCGCAGTGGCCACCCATATTTTGGAGGGTAACCTAGATACGGAAACCGTGTAGCCATCGATGGATAAATATGTGGTGTCTAGTCATGATCTCACAACCACAGGGACACATTCTAAGGAATGGTCACTAGGAAATTCTGTCATTGTAGAAAGGTATAAAGTGCATTTCTGCAAACTTAGCTAGTACAGCCTATTACACACATAGGTTATTTAAGGACCACCATCTAGAGTCATTCCACTGTTGTAAACGGCATCGCAGCACATCAGTGTATATGAAATGGAACACTACTCAGTCAGTCACAGCAAGTATCACGTTCTTGACATCTGTAGCATATGAAAGACCTGGAGGGTGTTATACTAAGTGAAGTAAGTAATACAGAAATCACATACTGGTGTGAAGGGGATCAAGAGGCACAAACTTCCAGTTAAAAAGTAGGACATCACAGGGATGTCATTACAGGATGAGAACTAGTCATTAGCACTGCATTGGAAATTTAAGTGTGAGTGTAAATAGACATAGGGTGGTCATTTCAGTGTGTACACGTGTCACATCACTAGGTTGTACACCTGCAACTACTGCTGAGGTCAGTTATACTTCAAAAACTATATTAATGTTGTAAATGCTTTATAATATTAATATTAAATATTTTAAATGCATAAACCACTAAATCAGCACAGAAGAAAAAGTAAACACTTTTAGGGTCACATATACCGGTGTTCAAATCCCCAGTCTAATACTGTATGGCAACATTTTTTGCTTCTGTGAAATTGAGATATACCAGTAATGTGTGGACTATTTCTCAGTTAAAATACTGTTACTGTGTAACACAGTACCTGACATACAGCAAATACTCAATATTTTACAGTAGCTAGTAAACAGCTACCTGGATCATTTAGGTTGAAAAACTTAAGGTACCCCCAAATTACCCAGAAATGGCCCATCTATTCTTTTGGAGTAATCAATGCAATATAAAATATTTGACTGAAAGACAAAACTGGAAATTAGCTGCTGCATCTCCTTAGATCATGGTAAATTAGGTAAAAAACTCCCAGTGCAGAGAGCAGATTAAAATTCCCACCTACATCAAGAGTCTATTAGTTTTCAATGAACGGGGAAGAGGAGTGACTTAATGACTTGGGTGGACTATACTGTCTCATTACAGAATTCTGATCCGCTGCTGCTGTACTTAAGAACTCATCAAAGACTGTATCTGCTAAGTTTAGGATTCCTGTTGCACATCATCCAAAGGTTTTGTCATTATCAACCTATTGTCTCAGACAGCTTTACTCCAAATGCTAGCCATTCCCATCTTTAATATAACAAAAACTGCTGTTTGACCATGCTCATTTGATATTTGACCATACTCATTTGATATTTCTCTTCAGGAAAAAATAATTCATGGTTATAGTTCCTAATTTTTAGTAATAGTGACTAGGAGAATGCCAATCACATATGCATTACTCCCAATACTGATTTGCTAGCCTTTGCTGCTTTATTAACCTGTCTTTCTCGTCTCTTTAGGAAATAAATACTCTGAAAGCAGATAATGATGCCCTGAAGACACAGCTGAAGTATGCACAGGAGAAAATAGAAACCCTCCAACTTGCTAGAAGCAATCATGTCTTGGCTCAGATGGAGCAGGGTGACTGTTCTTAGCCCAGAAACTCAAGGAACACAGCTGATCACAACAAAGTTCACATTTCTTAGGCTTATTAGGGGAACATTACACTGACAGGCTTTTCAAAGGGTACTTACAGAAAAGCCAGTTCCTCTTTTTTTTAACCTAAGATTCTGACTGTGCAGTATTGTTTACCAGTCTGGTTAACTCAACAGGCAGAAGCTGATGAATTGCATTTGTAACACAAACTTTATTCCCTGGGACTCATACCAAAAGTGTGCAGAAGTGTAAGCCAGCTTCTCCTATGTAGCCTGCCTGGCTACTGTCTCCTTTGAACTAGTCCCCAGAAAATGAGTTTCCTTTTACCCCTAGGTTTTCTGTGAACTGAATATTAACTTACTTTTACTCAAAGGTTGCTTGTAGTAGAAAATTACCTGCATTCCAAAAAGATTTACTTCTACATCCCATCATCAGATTTTAGGAATCTGTTTCCTACTGTACTACCTCAGATGTAATCCATTAGCCTATTTCCCTTCCCTTCTCACTACACACACACTCCCATGAGTCGTCCTGCACAGGAACTACTGACATGAAGCCACAATTTCTTTAGAAGCATGTTAAAGCAACGTGACATTGAATTCCAAGTCACTTCATTGTTTTAGTCTCACAGTCTTAGTAAGTAACCAAATGAAGTACTTGCAAACCTGGCTGTTAGCTAAAATAACACAAACAAGGTGTTTATTCTATAATCTACAATGGACAGAATTAGACACTTATGGCTTTAAAAAAAAGTAGAGTGTAATTCTTCATGTTCCACCTTTATTTCAGAAACTGAAGAATATTCTTTGAACTGAACTTGTGCTTATTTTCACTATAAATACTATCTAGAAATAAACTGCATCAAAGGCTTAAGGGTCACAGCTCACAGTATACATATGTGTACAGTGTATATATACAGTATCATGCATGTGGTTTGGAATTGTATTTCCTCCTTCATGAAATGTGGAAGTGATTTAAACTACTTTAGTCATTTATACAAATTCACAAATACAAAGATCAGTCTGTTAAAAGATGTAAGAAATTGTTTCCAACTATTGTTCAGCAAAATGACAAGTAGGTGTCCTGTGAAATTTTCTAATGAAGGCTAATGATTAATGGACTCATTCAGTTGCCTGGGCAACTGTTCACAAATTCTTGTCATTCTCTTATTGCTTTAAAAATGTTCATGTGAGCATTTTCTTTGGGGGGGCGGGGGAGAGGAGAGCAGCAAGGGGAGGGGAGGGCTTACCCGCCATGCTTAGAAAGCCTGGTACCAAGCTGACTTGAAATTTATACTGATGTTGAACAACTGTCAAGAATACAATGTCAACTACAAGTTCCACACCGAAGGCCAAAACTCTTAACCAGAATATGAAGTATATGTACAGTGTAGCTCCCTTGGGAGACTCACATAATTTAAGACATTTCTTTGATCAAAGGCAAGTTTCCATTTGCATAGCTCCTTGTACTCGATTTTTGTGACATTTAGCTTCCAGTTAGTACTTTTAAACAACCATTTTACACACAAATTTTCTCAAATTCAAACTCAAATACCCAGAGCAGGGCTGCTGTTGTACACCACCTGGTATGTAAACTTAAAGCACTTTACTATTTACCTTACATGGAACCAACTTTGAACAGTATCATGCACCATGATTTTTTTCCTCTCACCCTCCATCCAAAATACAGATGCCACGTTAGTTTATTTTCTGTGTAAATTATCTATAATCTGTAGGAACTGGAAATGTCAGCCAAATCAACACAGCGAGGGTCTCAAACATTTCAGAATTTATCACTGAAATGCATAAGATTTCACATCTGACAAGGATCAATTAATATTAGTGTGTAAATTAGTAGTTATGCACTGAGCTACACAGAGTTACTGGAGCCCACAGAAATAATCTGGAATAAATGTTTTGGTTTTTCAAAACCTCCGATACAAACTTTTGTGTCTTCTACTAACTTGAAATAAGTTCGGGCATTCATTTATCTGCCAAAATGAGGCAGATAAATGTCTTGTAAACAGCACTTCTTACTTTCTTTGGTAACTGACTTGCCTTTTCCTGTTTATGAATTTGTGTCTTGGTATCTCATGTAAAAAAATAAGGAAAAAAACATGTACAGATTGTAAAGATTTTTTTATATCCCATGTAAGTTTTCCTTGTGCAATATTTATATCATAAAAGACATTAGGATCCCTACAACATAAATGTCTTGTGCTTATTCTAGTTCAAGTATATGTAGAAGCTTCATGTGAATTTTTACTATAATCTACAGCTGAGATCATGCCCCAGTCTATTAACAAAACAGACTTTTCCTGGAAGGGAAAACAAAGCAACTAATGAGCCAATAAAATTTTTTCTAATTCTTTTAACATGAACAACACAGAAATATCCAACTTAACCCCATGACTTACAGTGATCCCTAAATATTAAACCGATGAATACTTTGGACAACTCTGAAGGATTATTTCACTGCAGGTTTAGTCTTTAATTCCACAGTTTTAATAGAAACTTTGAATGTGTGTATCAAATTGTAGATGATTTAAGCCAGTGTACAGACTCATCCAGAGAAGTTAATTTGTGCTCATAATTATGTACAATTCAGCTACAATATTGTCTTCATCCCCAGCTAATCTTTGTTTAACCAAATGAATGCAGGGCTGGGGAGAGGCATTTCAATCACTCAAATTCCAGTGGGGAATGCATTCTGGTACATTTGGATGCAAGTATATTTCTCATTTTAGCAATTCATAGTACTTCAGACAAAATAACGAAGTCACACTAATGCTATCCTGCAAGGCCAGGTTGTCAAACGGCCTCCCTCTACTCTGCCCCCAATTCGCATCCCAAATATTTCTACTCTCTGCTCCTTACAACAGATAGGTGGTGTCATTGCTCAAAACATTCGCTAGTTTCAGCTTTTTTAGGTTATCTTACCTCCTTTTGACACAAATACGTAATTACAATTTGATTTTCAACGTCTTCCTGTTTAGTGAGGCAAGGTTTCCCTGATTTGCAGAACACAAGGGTATAGGTGCAAAGAAAGCACCTGAGCCCTTCTTTTGCTGAGAGCCTATGTGTAAAAATTTGGTGATTGTGTATGGACAAGACAAAGAGTCTTTATAAGATCCAGATAAGTGGTCAGTTACTTCTTTAATCCTAGTAAGTTCAAGTCTAATTGGTGCTATTAAATAGCAAAGGCCAAAACCAAGACAAAGAGAAGAAAAAAGGTGAGAGAAAACAAAGTGCAAGCAAAATTGAAATTGAGAACCAGGCAAAAAAAGAGGGTGTTAGATTTTAGAAACCAGTCATGTGCCAGTCATTATACTCCACATTTATATTGCATTTGAATTACAAAACATTACCACATGAAGGTCCCAAACTGCCCGACTGCTAGTCTAGATACTGCTCAGCACACTCGCTCTTCTACAAAACAAATTTTACTGAATAAAAATTATCATCATAATCATACCTTATAGAGAACACTAAAATATCAGAGTCTAGAACACTTAGCTTTCCATTCAAGTGCTGTTGACAGGAATGTGCAGACAGGAGTGGTTCCAGCTCCAACATGATTCCAAGAACAAGCACTGTATGTGGTTAAGCTTTGCAGTGAGTGCAACAGATAACCGAACAGCACCCCTATGAAGATACAAAGCAATCTTACAAAAATTAATGTCTGTCATTATATGTCATAGACTTTAGTGACAAAGGTTGAAAGCAGTTGTAAATTTCCCTTTTATATAAGCAACTAAAGTCCTCTCAAAAGAAATGAAGCAGAAAGGTAAGGGTTTTAAATGAACATTGTTTTAACTATTAGCTCTTTTGAAATATTTTACTCCTGTGGCCTTGTATATTTTTTAAAAAGTATTTATTTTCCAGAATTCATAGCTACTCACAAAAGTGTTTCCTTAATTATGGAAAGCCATTTCCTTCAAGTATCACAAATGAAATTAAGTATCTTCATTAAATATAAACACGTTTTTAAAAATCTAAGTTTACAAATAACTGAAAACATGTTTTCCTATCCTAAACAGTTTTCTTTGAAGGGCTAGCTGGAAAAATACATGGCCAAGACTACAGTACACACAACGTTTACTTTGAATATTTTTAACATTTTAGATTTCACCTCCATTTACTGTTAAAACTGCCAAGTATCAAATACCATTTGTCTACCAATACTCAGCTTTCTATTATGCCAAGTTGATTTGATCACAAAAAGTGGTTATTGCGAAAGTACTGATCAGGAGGCTACAATGGGGCACAGATTTTACAGTGGCACTGAACAATCGTGTGGCTATCTCTTAATCATCTATACTAAGCAAAAAATGCATTTATTGTACCCCTTTAACCATTCACACACATCCTCTAAATTCTCAACAAATGGCAGTAGTATTTGGGTCTTTATGAAACCACCCGAGTCGGGGACAAGTGTCACATTCCTCATTTAACAGATGAGGACAAGTCAGTCCTTGAGGCCACGGTCATTTCAGCTTCTAGCATCCCTGGGTCAGTGCCACGATTTCGATTCAGAACTCCTCTCCCCCAGCCTTTGACTGACATTCCCTAACCATGTTTCCCGAATCTTCCTGTGTAGCAGAATCACCAAGGGATGATTACCTCTCCCTCTGATCTTTTGAAACTGAAAATTACTTCTCTGATACCGTTTAGTACAGTTCAGCCTGCCTCTTTTACTTATTTGTATGTGTTTTCAGTTTGCCTTTTATATGCAGATCCCCAGTTACAGCACAAATGATGAGAAGCTTCTATGACTGCTTTTCACATCAGGTAAAATTTAGTCTTTCTCCCTTTAGAGTAATTATCATCTTTAACTTTCCTTTGTTAGTCAAAACAAAATCAGATTTCAAATCCAATTAGAAAATTAATCAAATATGCACAGCAAAACACAGACTGGACTTTCATTAAAGGAACTTCACTGGAAACCTGGCCAGAGAATTGCCTCCTGTGAAAGATAAATCATGTCCTTACAACTACTTATGGAACAAAACTATCAGTCTCTCTCCCTATTTTGTAAAGCAGAATTAACAAACACAAACACAGTGCAGAGGAATACAGATGAAATGAGGCCATATCCTTTCTATTACAAGTGGGGTAATTTATGAGTCCCAAACCTGAATAAAATACAGGCAGCAATCTAAATTCAGTCGTGACAGTAAAATACTTTCCATTTCCCAAGTTCGATGGTAATAAATATTTACAATTTTAAAAATAATTTTTACTCTTTTAAAAAGACAACATGCTGAGGGTACACAGGACAAGGGCCGCGCTGCGTGGGGGCGCGAGGGCGGTAGAAAACAAGGTCCTCGCAGAGCAGCCCGCCCCGACGCGCTCTAACCTGGGGCTGCTAACCTGGGGCTCACGTCCAGGCGGCGGCGTCAAGCGCATCCGCGGGACGGGGGTCTGACGCCTCCGCAGCTTCAGTACCTCCTGTAGCCGCCCCCGCCCCCTCCGTAGGGATCCCCGTACCCTCTGCCGCCGCCGTGGCCGCCCCTGCCGCCGTAGCTGCCCCTGCCTTGAAAGCCTCCTCTCCCCCCGCCCCCACCGCCCCCCAGCCTCCCCCTGCTCCCCCGCCCCCGCCCCAGCCGCCGCCGCCCCCGCCCCAGCCGCCCCCCCCGCCCCCGCCCCCGCCCCCCCCCCCCCACCCCAGCCGCCCCGTCCACCGCCGTCCTGTCTCTTCTGCCAAGGGGGCATTTCGGGGGGTGGCGGCTCAATCTCGTTCGGGCGTCCTCCCCTGTCGGGGACCCGTCCCATCAGCACCTGTGTGAGGAAATATTTTTTCAGTTTCTGCTATTTTAAGAGTTTAAACTGACACAAAGGATTCAACCGACACTGAAGTTACTATTTCTAGTACGGAAACCGAAGCCAAATATTTAAGGACATGGCAGTGTCAGACACGGCAGTATGAATAAATATCGAAAACATAAATGCCATATAAATTCCTCATAGAATGTGATTTTTTTAATCTGGAAGAATATTTCTGAAATTTAAAGACAACTTTCTCATCTAAATTTGTTCAGTGAATTTTACATCAAAAGTAGTATGCATCACACTAGGACTTTTTTTAGTAAATTATTTTCAAGACAAAATATATATACACCCTTCATTTTTAACTTCATACCCATTTATTCAACAACTCTTAGTTTTCCATTGCCCACTAATTGGAGAATGGATTATTCAATTAAAGATTGTATTTCTAAGTACATTTTATTTCAACAAAGTATGAAATAAATGATAAAATGTGGAGGCAGTGAAGTCAGCACTGAATGACTATTAATCCAAGGACCCATTGCAAAGACACACGAAGACTTGCAATAAACTGTTCCTTTCTTACCAGAAACTGAAGATCACTAACTTTCAATGATGATACTAGTTGTAATATTATAAAGAAAATAAAAGACCGGCTATCCTTTCTTTATCCTGCTTAACAATACTTTGAAGAATGAACCAGGGAAGAGTTTGGTGTTGAAGTCTCCAACCTTCTACAGAATAGTTACTTTATATGCCCTTGAATAGAAAAATAAATCAAAGGACAGTGGTGAGGAGGACATCTCCCACCCACCACAGTCAAGGGGAGGCCCATAGTTTCCTGCTAGACATTTCCAGATAAAATAATCAATGCGCTAATTGCCGCCCACAAAATGGCCTAGGAATCAGTTAGGTTCTCCTTCCACTGATTTTCTAATAAGAACCATGTTTCAGTACCACGTCATTCATGAAAGATAAAAAATGCAAATCACCATTGATCGGCAAGGGTGAAAGGGTCAAACATTCTTTTAAAATAATCACTAATGTCCTAATTACCAAAACGCCCCCAAAAAAATCTTTTCTTGATTGTTATTCTCGATAGATCTCTCCAGCCAGCACTCTATTTTGGTGAATATATATGGGGATGCTGCTCCCAAAACTGATCAAGAGATTGTCCAAATTATTAAGACTATACATTGTAAATTCAGAAAATAGATGGGTAATCTTTTCTTAAACAAGACTGGACTGCAACCTGATCAAAATAGTAAAGAATGTATTTGACAGACAGAACACTTTAAGATAGGGGAAGTTCATCTAACGTGGGAGTGAGACAGGAACACTTCTGCAAGTTAGCAAACTGACCTGAAATATAACCCACGCCCCTCTGGCAAGGTTTCCTCTGTCAAAAACACATTTCTTATTATAATGAGAAGTGGGAATTTAAAACATCTAAATTTCTTCCATTCACTATTTTGCTCTTTTGTAATATAGTTTGAGTGCATGACAAACTAAATGGAGAGGAATATGCTAGCCGAACTGACAAACATTCTAGATAATTGTTGTTGCTACCATGGTAAAGAAAACTCACATGCTTTGAGTTTCTTTAGGACCACTGTCAGAAAAATGGATCTATGTACTCTGAGTCAGGAATGAAGCTCCAAGAGATTCAGTAACCTGCCCAAAGCTATTTCTCTAGTAAGAGACCCAGGCTGTGAACCCAGATTTATAGGATTTGAAAGCACGGACTCTGCTCTTTTCTACCAAGGATGTAAAGAATAAGTCAGTACCTGAAACAACTCATAGAATTTCAGTGACAAAAAGTGACTCCATTCTCAGACAGCAAACAATTTCTTGCTGAAGTTATTGGTAACAATTCTTAAGTCCACTAATTCAGATAATTTACTTTATGAATATAGAGCTCCAAATGACATAGCACACATAAAACATAGTAACCCATGAACTGAGGCCCCTCCATCACTCTTTTCTAGGCGCTCACCAGGTGTAAAAGAAAAAGGGGATTAAAATATGTGAAAATATAAAATGAGTATATGATAAATTCATTCTTCACTGAACTGAGAGAAAAACCAACCTTATTAATAGCGCAGGCTGTCTTTTCTCGGGTGGTGCCGCTACTTGTCCTAATGATCTTAGAGAGATCCTCACGAGCAGCAAGTAAATGGGCCAAAGAAATTGTAGTCTTGGGTGACAAAGCATAACGCTTAGGCTGGTAAATTCTTGCTATGTCATCTGTTTTTATCTAAATGACAAAAATTAGGTAAAAAAGAAACCAAAGAACATATCAATTGAAAGAGCAATGGCAATCATAATCTTCTGAAAGATTAGAGGAGATAATGTATAAGAAATAGAAATAAGTAAAATAAATAACTAATGATAATTTGTGGAATGAAAAAATAAACAGATGTTAGAGATACGAAGCAGTAGCAGCTCAAAAAACCACACAGAAAGGAGTCCATTCACAATTAAGTTATTATTAATAACTTAATAGTCATTATGTCTTCAGTCCTGAAAACATCCTTTTAGAGTGAGTTGTTTCCACTATCCCCTTTTGCAGAAGGAAAAAAAATTCCAGCTTAGAAAGCTGAAACAATTTCACAAAAATACAAAGTATCCCAAATTTTGCCTACTTACTAATTACTAATTACTTCACGCCAAGATAAGAGATGTTTAAGAAGCAGTGTTTATCTAACCTAAATCTAATGAAAAGAAACAAAAATAGATTGATGTCGCAAAATAAGTAAATGAAATTCAAAGCCTCATGAGTGTATAAACGCAATAAATAGAGGCAACAAAAGTCAGCGAGAAAAGGGATATTTTAAATGATGTTGGAATGAACTGCTGTTTATTTGTAAAATTAAAAAGGTATAGCGTATAACAGAAGGAATTCCAAATATAAAAATTATTGTTTGAGGTTTTATTTTAAATTAAAAAAGTTAACTCTGTTTTAAAGGTTAAAATTTCTACATGTCAAAACGCAAAAGTCAAGACAACTGGAGAAAACATGTTCAACAAAGAAGGCACCTAGCTAACTCCCTTCATACATAAAAAGCTCAATCAGAAGGAAAACAGAAAGGGGAAGGGAAAACAAGACAGAAACAGACATTTTTTAAAAAATGTTCTTAAATGGGGAAACTCAAATGATTAATATAAAAAGGCTCAACTTTATCAACAGTAAAAATATACAAATTAAATCAATTTAGTCTTTTTTAACCATCAGTTAGCAATAAAATGGATTAACACCCTAAATATCAAAAACACTAGAGTGAAAATAAAATTTACACTACTGACTAGAGTTCAAATTCATATATATTTTTAAAAACAAGGTTGGCTATATGCATCAAGAACATTAAGAATCATCTTTGACCCAGTAAATTTCCTTTTAGGAATCCACCATAAGAATATACTTTGAAATTTACTAATAAAAATCATACACAGTAATAATCGTGGTGTTAGTTTATATAGGTAAAACGTGTAAGAGTTAAATTATGATATCTCTGTATGATCAAATATAAAGCACCCATAAAAGTGACACTGAAAGGAAGTAATGTTACAAGTGACAAACATGGATGAACCCTGAAAGCATTATGCTAAGAAGCCAGATACAAAAAGCCATTTATTGTATGATTCCATTTATATAAATTGTCCAGAATAGGCAAATCCAAAGAGGCAGAAAAATTCTTTCAGGGATGATGCAAATGTCACGACATTACACAGAGGTAACGGTTTCACAATACAATGACTACACCAAAACCACCTAACTGGACACAAAATGGTGACCTCTATCACAAATTAAAAATTAATTTAAAGAGAGTACTGAAATAGAGCTTTTAGAAAGATGGGACTACAATCCCAACATTAGTAAAAAAGCAAACTAAAGTTATGCTCATAATGCTAGGAAAAAAGTAGAGAAACTAGATTAACTATACTAAAATAGACGTGTAATCTTTCTGAAGGGCATCTCTGAGTGTGTATTAAAAACATTAAAACATGCATTTCTTTGATCAAGTAATTCCACGCTTGGATGCATCAAGGACACGGATAATAACTGAGCTGCAGGGCCTCCCTGCAAGGGGTGGTGCAAGGGGTTAAGCACCACACTATAAAGCAATCTGCAGCCTCTGCAGCACGAGTTTGATCCCATGCCAGCCAGGGAACAACCCACATGGTGCAGCAGACCTCTCCTGTCTTGCCCGCTGCTCCCCTCAGGAGCAGTAATCAGTGTATTTCAGTCAGTCTGCCTGTTCTGTTCCCCACTCTGTCTCTGGTGGATCCTCTCATCCCCCTGCATCTCTGGCCTGTATCCCAGCTCTTGTATGCATAAATAAATAAATCTTTAAAAAAAAAAAAAAACTGAGCTGCAAAGGATTTCATTAAAAAGAAAATTGAAGAAAACCTCCATGCTGATCAGTAGAACATATCTATATAAAAAAATAATCTGCCAAGATTTAAAATGCTATGGAACAGTATATGATGAGTCATCCAACAATATCAAGACAGTTGAAATAAGTTTAAACATTAATTTTATCCCTAAGAAAATAAAATTCAGGGTACAAATGCATACACACACATAACCAATGCAAAAGGATTAAATGAAGTGACTTATCAATAGCGTAAGAAAAAAGTATTTTAAATATCCTCCAGACTCATATAGAGAAACCAAACAAAATCAAGAAAAAGTCAAAACTAGCAAGCTGACCATAGATCCGAGGTGTACAAGAAGAGATGGGAAGGGATGGGGGGTCAAAACAGGACAAGGAAGACAAGGGAATATGGTGATTGTTCAAGGGTGATACGGCGGTGGGAGAACTATGGGGACACTTGAGGACTACAACAATACAAGAAGAGTAATAAAAAATATGTAAGATACTTAAAACATAAAATATCTTTCAGACTAAGGAAAAAAGGGACAAAAATACAACCTTTTCCTAAAACAAGATGAAAAAAAGACCTAGATAAAATAAACATATTTCTTAAAGGTATATTTTCTCAAAGTCCCCAAGTTTAAGGCTAGTAAAGTGTCAACAAGCCCAAGAGTCTATACCACTCTAAACATTCAAAACTCATTTCTTTTGGAATTCTCTATAAGCTTAAGACCACCACCTGTAACAATGTCCAGTTAATATGTTAAGACACTTTTAATATACTACCTTTACCCATTTTACTTATATTCCTAAATTCCTTTTTCTCATTAAAATTCTATCAGATTAAACTGGACACCCAGTATATACACAGCCTCAGTAAAATTTCATGGAGTGGGCGGTGTCAGTAAAACTGCTACCTCCCACACATCTGAATGTTATTCCAATTCTCAAGGTCAGTAATCATGTCATCTACCTCTTGGTAATTCAAAGCTCTTAAAGGATTTTGGTTTCTTGCACAAAACAGTCAGTCCCCGACGACTGAAGAAGAGAAAGACTATCTGAGAAGCCGATTAGGTATTACAACAGAAATCTTCTGAAAATATTCCAGACCTAATAACACACGGTCCTGAGATGCTCATCTAGAACCAGGTACAACATTGTGCCTTACTGACACACATAAGGCACTGAGTAAAGGCTTATTGAAAGAAAATACATGAATGACAGTCCTCAACTCTGCCTTATAGCTATTCTATTACTATACTAAAAAGAATGTTCTCTGAAATAGTTTCCCTGTTCTAATCACTCAACTTTCTGTATTTTTCTGCCAGATGTTTAGAAGGAAACTATGTACAAAATATGAGGTAGTAGTTCTAAATAGATGGGTCAGACTGAACACAGTCACAAAAAGGCACACACAAACTACCAAAAGAGAATGGATAAAAATGGATATAGGTAAAAAGGGAATCAAAAATCTCAGAAAACAAAATATGGAACAGAAAATAGGGGTTAACTCAGTTTAACTATAGAGCAACCCATTCTTCCAATTCCTGGTGTGATGCTGTCACTCCTCCCCTAAAGCAACTTAAGTGCATCTACCCAGGATGTCTAATATCTGACAAAGAAAGATTTTCAGAAAGAAAACAAAAGGGAAGAAATACATAAGAGCTAAGCGACTATAGACTGAAAGGTCCTCCTAGGGTTTAGCATCTGAATGAAGAAACATCCAGATCAACACATACTGGGAAATTTTAAAACTCCAAGAATACACAAAAGAGCCCAGATGCTCACAGAGACAAAAAAAAGATCACCCAAGAGGGAAGTGCATGGCATCAGGCTTCTCAGTAGCAGCAATGAATGCTAGAAAACAATGATGCAATCAACACCTTTAGTATTTTTACAGAAAAATATTTAACCTAAAATTTTATATTAACCTAAACTATCAAAGAGGACACCACAATAAACATGTTATGAGGAAGCAAGGATTAAGAAAAAAAATCACCTCATTTTTCTTCATCAGAAAGTTGTTTGTGGGTTTACATCAGATAGTAAGAGAATAAACAACAAAAGAGGAGGCCATCTAAGAAACAGTGGAGAAGCCAAGAATAGGCACACCAGTGACCCAGATTATAATAAGAGAATACAAATTTCTGGAAAGGAATGTATACAGAAAACACCTGATTTTTAAAAAGTATATATATATATATAAAAGAGGAGAAGCATATGATGAAACAGTGTGCAAGAAAAATAAAATCCAGTTAGAAGGAAAATGAGATCTGAACTGATGATGATGTCTAAATCCCAGTTCCCGGAACCTGTGAACCATGCAGATGTGATGAAGTTATGGATCGTGACATGAAAAGATTATCCTGGATTGTCTGGATAGGCCCAGTGTAATCATGAGGACTGATATAAGAGAGAGACAGGAGAAGGCAACCGACAATGGAAGAGAGAGACCAAGGATACTATGCTATTGGTTTTACACAGAGGATGAGACCAAGTGCCTCCAGTTATGCAAGGTGACTTCTGGAAGACAAATGCAAGGAAACATTCTCCCCTGAAGCATTCAGAAGGAATACAAGCCTGCTGATACCTTCATTTTAGGACTTCTCATTTCTAGAGCTGTAAGAGAATAAATGTGTAAACTTAAGCCACTAAGTTTGTAGTAATTTGTTAGAACAGTCATAGGATACCAATACAAGACACCATGTGGTGACAGATTACATAAGAGCCAAGACGACGACTGAAGCAGCTGAGCAGATAGCAGAGCTCAGACAAGTGAGACATCACCTCAGATGCTCCAGTCAGCCCAGGCACCAGATGAAAAAAGATGTATGCTGGGCCTCCCCGGTGGCGCAGCGGTTGAGCGCTGGGTTGCGAAGCTGCCCACAGCCTATGCAGTGCCGGTTCAATCCCCGGCTGCTCCCCGGCCACCGGAGGAGGGTCCCACATGGCGCGCAGACCTCTCCTGCCGCCCGCTGCTCCCCTCAGCAGTGTACTTCGGTCCTTCTGCCTGCTCTGCTCTCCGCTCTGGTGAATTCTCTCACCCTCCCGGGCTTCTGACTGTACCCAGTGCTTGTATAAATAAAAATAAATAAATCTTTAAAAAAAAAAAAATAGATGTATGCTGACACAACTGATATAACATGTGTAGAACTGCCCAAAGTTAATCCAAACAATGTAATAATGATGTCTGAGAATAATGGGCATAGAATGGTAGTGGAGAGAGCGAGCTATCTGAAGTTATTCTTATTTACGGGGCCTTCTGATGGCCTAGGGGTTATTACGACTCAGGGCTATCATGACACCGCTTCACTGTGGCCTCAGTTCAGTCCAGAGAGGGAGTTAACCCACATGGTGCAGCAGAACTCTCCTGTTTCATCTGCTGCTCCCTTTAGCAGTGTAATTAAACATATCTGCCTGTTCTGTTCCCCACTCTGTCTCTGGTGAATCCTCTCACCCCCCTGCACTTCTGGCCTCCACCCCAGTTCTTCTATGCAAAAATAAGTAAAATCTTTTTTAAAAAAAGATTCATATTAGTATGCCACCCGCACACACACTTTCCACTCCCTTATCAACTGGAACACACATTACAGCCTTAAGACACTTTTAAGAAGAAATGTTCAGGCATCACTACGAGCTATACATCTCCCTGAATCCTACTTTCTTGCTCACATATCTAGCTCACTGTCTCTTATGATGACCCTTTTATGCATATTCTCACATACGTCACATTTATAACTTTAAAATAAAAGTAAAATACACAGAAAATTAAGATATTAACAAATAGGGATTTATACAAAATCAGGATCATTATTACATGAGACCAGTATGTAGTCTGGGCTTGAGCTTAAGGTAGTGATCAAGTTCAAGACTGGGGTAATTACATAAGTCAAGCACTGAAGAGCTGTCACACAGTACCACCTACAGGACACAAGTGGGAAAACAGATTTACCTTTGCTCTATCAGACCAGCCAAAAGATTGCACTGTCACATCTAATCGTTTCATCAGCATCCGCCGGCGGCACTCATATTCACAGGAAAGAGCATCATTAATTTTTCCTAGCTGCTTCTAAAAAATTTGGAAACAAAAATCCTCAACTTTAAAATCTTTCACTGGCAGAGAAAATAAGTTTGAAAACTGTGGTCAACACTTCTACTGATACAAAAGATACCATAGTTGACTGTTTTCTAAACCTGTTAGACCTTACATTTAATTATGTGTAATAGTTTTTGATATAGCATTTATGATATTCAAAAGTTTAATTTAAATAAATTCTACAATTGATCGTTTACCTACCATACATAAAACATCAACTTGCTAAACAGTCTGGACCAGTAAGGAAAATAATAGCAATGGTAACTTCCCATCTTGTTGAATTTGAGCTACTATGTTTTTTAGCTCACAACTATGCTACTTATTGAATACCCTAAATACTTCTGGCCAGTATTTTAAAAATTAGCAATCTGAAGAAACGCTCAGAATTATTACTCTATAGACTATCAATTCATTTTAATTCCCCCAAAATAAGTGCATGCTACACACTGTAAAATCTAGATGTCTATTTATTAAATTAAGTTGCATTCAATATTTAATTACAAGAAAATAATTAAAAAGGTGATTTACCGCCTGTTCCAGATTTAAATCAATTTTCAGCAATGGTTTTCCCACATGACTTTTTTGCACTTTTGAGAGAATATCCTTCACCTAAATGCAAATATACAAAATTGAGAAAATGTAAATCTCTAGTTTAAAACCATCCTATTCTTGCTTAAAATGCTCTGAATAAACAAAAAGAGAAATCATTAAAATACACCTTCAAACATTCAGAAGAATATCACTATGATGAAGACAATCTTTCTCAAAGAAGCATTTGTTATATTAACTCAAGTATACCTTCTTTTCCAGAGAACATAATATATATAGACAACTTAAGAAATAGCTACTAAAAGGTTTTACTATGAGAATATGTTTTATGTAAAATAATTTAGGAGTCTCTTCAAAGTTTCCTGGTAAATTCTCAAAAGGGATTCTAAAACTTGGATGAGCACATTGATTTCTCTTTTCTCAAATATTATGTTTACATTCCAACTTAAGAATTCTAGTTTTATTGTTCAGCAAGAAGTAAGAGGGCAAGCCCTCCCAGAGTCACCACAAACATTCCATTACATTTCCAAAGTCGCTGACTTGAATTATTTGGAAATTGTGCACATGAGGGGTCCCAAAGCTTACGCTTTATAAGCTGTGCAGCAAGTCCACCTCTGCAGAGATTAACTGATCTAATTTTTACATATTATGAAAAATTAAAAACTTTCTTAAAATACACCTTTCTGTAGATTCTCCAACTATAGTAAATATCACAAATTTTATTATTTCATTTTTTTTAAAGATTTATGCATAACAAGAACTGGGGTTCAGGCCAGAGATGTGGGGGGGGGGGTGAAAGGATTCACCAGAGACAGAGTGGGGAACAGAACAGGAGGAATGTCCGAAATACACTGCTGAGGGGAGCAGCGGGTGAGGCAGGAGAGGTCTGCTGCATCATGTGGGTAGCTCCTGGCTGGGGACATCTTCATAGGTTGAGTCTTAACCCCTGTGCCACGAGGGAGGCCCCTATTTCATATTTTAGTAAAAGTTTCAGCTGTAATTCCTCACACAAATGCATACTTGTAATTTCTTACAAGTTATCACATCCCCTCCATTCCCAGGATTGCAACATTAGTTAACAATGTTAGTACATTTGAGAATTACTTGTGAGGAAGAGTTAAAAGCACACTCTGAAGGTTGACTGCCTACTTTCTAACTTCATACCTACCACTACTCAGAAACATCTACTTTATCAGAACTTTAGGAACACCTGTTACCTCATATGCCTGCTGCCAATAACTTCCTCATAGGTAACAGAATTAAATAAGATTACATACAAAGACTTACAACAGTGTTATTTGTTTACTGTTGGAATTTAACTCCTTGAGATTTTACATTTAAACAATTTCAAGTAGAAAATAATGATAATTTTCCTCTGGACATATCACATATGGAATATAGAAATTTTTGCTTTTGACAAACTGAATGGAGATGGAAATCTTTTTATTTAGGTAAATATTTAGCCATTATGGCCATAGGGAGAACTGCCTCATAATTAGCCTGCCAGCATCTGAACACAAGCATTATAACCTATTTTCAAGTAGCACAAAGAGATTAGGAGGTATTAGTAAACTAACTGAAAATCCTAAAAGGGAAGTCTCTTTGGAATCAATATATGGAAATAATGGAAGATTAGGAATAGCCCAGAAATCCGTCTCAATTTGAAAAAGTCCAACATTTTAGTCAAACTCAGATCATTTGCAAATGAGAGAAAAACGGGGGTGGGGGGGGCCACTCTCTTGAAGAGTAACTGCAAAATGTTCTTGAGTTAGGATTCACAATTTTATTCTTTGGTCTGCAAGTTCTTCCAAAAAAAGTTCTTAATATACTAAAATTCTCTTAAAATCTTTTTACTTTCAGTTCATAAATTATCAATTCAAGACATCTCTATTCTAGGATTTGTTTTAAAGCAGACTGTCAAAAAGTGGAGTTTCAGTACCATTCTTAAGGATGAAAAATTTCCTGTCCTTTAAAATGGATCCTGGGGCCTCACCTGGTGGCACAACGGTTGAGCGCTGGGCTGCGAAGCTGCCCGCAGCCTCTGCAGCGCCAGTTCGATCCCCGGCCACGGGGCGAGGGTCCTACATGGCATGACGCACAGACCTCTCCTGCAGCCCGCTGCTCCCCTCAGCAGTGTACCTCGGTTCTTCTGCCTGTTCTGTTCCCCACTCTGGCTCTGGTGAATTCTCTTACCCTCCCGCGCTTCTGCTTGTGTAAATAAATAAATAACTTAAAAAAAAAATAATTAAAATGGATCCTGCATTATTCCCCTAAAGGACTTCCACAGAACTATGAACTGGGCTAGAATTCAGTCTGCGACAGTAGCATTCTGATATATGGGAACAGCATGGCTTATTTAAAAAAAAAACACACACACAAAAACAAAAACAACTTGAGGTACAAGTTTGTGGTTGTTTTTAACTATTCCACCAGGGCACTCATTCAACTGTTCACTATACAACAAATAACTTACAAATGCTTTCCTACCAGAAATTGTGCTTGCTCACTGCCAAAAGGCATTCACACTGAAATCTATTAATATCCACTCAAAAAATATTGTTGCCTTTGAGATTATAAGCTAACTCTTCTTCTTTCATTAACTGTATTTACCATTGATACCTTGTTTAGGAAAGAGAAATCACTGCAAATTTAAGCATCCATCATATCAAACCTTTGAGCCACTTAAGGGCACTTACTTATAAGATACAATTCCTGAATATGGGCTACTGGCAAATAAGGTCACAGGAAAAATCAAGTCCAAATCCAAAATTTAGGTTACATGAAATAAACTCTTGAAATGTCTGTTATACCTAAAGGAAATACTTTCATTTTTATATATTTACACATTAGTATTTAGCTAAATTTTGAGGAAAATGACCAAAAAAAAAAATACCTTTGTTTCCACTTGGTTTAGTGTAAGTGGAATGTCAGAAGTTGTTGACTTGGGTATACCCAGGGCATCACAGATAGCCTGAACTTCCTGATGAATTTCACTATTTTTATCTGATTGAGAATTTTTACATTTCTTGTTCTGTAGTATCTGTAAAGCTTGAAGCTCTGTACTTAAAAATACTGTAAGACAGGGAAAAATATTGTTAAGGGACATGATTATACAAAGGCATGAATCTCTAAATTGCACTGTTATTTTCCACAACCACTTGGATATGCCTTCTTATTTTTTTTTTAACAAATTTTTTATTGAAATACCATTGGTTTACATCATTGTTAGTATTTTGGAAGCATAGGATCTCCCCCTTTTAAATGCAATCACATAATGCACCCACCACCAAAGCACTAATAATTTAGTTTTAAATTAACTTTCACTATAGCAGCTAAAATATTGGGGCTTGTGTTTGTTTCAAGTTATATATACAAATACATCACAACAAACAATTTAAAACAGTAGTTTCAATTTTAGCTGAGCACAGTAACTGAGAAACTGTAAGTGCCAGTGTCCAATTCTCAGCGATTCTGAACCAGCAGAGTTCTGTGAACTGGGAATCTTGTGGTTTGATTTAGACCCAGAATGATTCCAATGGGCAAGAAGGATTGAGTCATTTAAAGATTTTTTCCATGCAATCTACAGTCTAAAGGGTCTACAAAAGTTAAGACCAATATATATCAAACTATGCTTGTGAGAACTATCTTGAGGTCCCTCTGATAGCAAAGCTTCACTGGGAAAAAAAAAAAAAAAAAAAACCATTCTTAAATTACTTGTAATTTTGACAGAACCTCAGTTGCAAGCTACCTGTGTTCTATTTAATATTACTAACCAGAGTTCAGCCTAGTATTTAAATGCTAATATATGCTGATGATAGAAAATAAAGTGAAAATTAAGTCTTCTTTCTACCACAGATCCTTAGATTTTCCCCACTGAGGATATATCACATGGATCTTTCTATAAATGATATAACCTGTAACAGAAATTTCAATAACAGATGTTAGAAAATAAAAATCTTTCAAATCGTTATTGTTTGTAGAACTTTCAAAATAGCATAAAACTAAATAGACTGAATTAAAGAATTTTTAAAGGCACCCAATACAAATGAGATTTAAATGTTCAAAGATAACTTACATAAAAGTTTCAAACAGTCATCCTTCTTTTTTAAACGGTCTTTAATATCTCCTGATATGAGTACAGAATACGGACATGCCATTTCTTTTAAGAATCCACTTATCTCAAGTTGGAAGCTCTCCAGATCATCTCTCCCTTTAAGAAAAACCATAAAACATTTACTGAGTATCATATAATCTGACATTTTCAAACTGACCACTAGTTGTTTCAGTTTTATATTCAACCTCAAATTTTCACTTTCACATTAGATCCTTAGAGGTGACACCTCATAAATTAGGTAAAAGTAACCAAAAAATTTGTACATATTGAAAGTAACAAATTAAAAAAACCAAGTATCTAATCATGAGACTATATTTTTCATCTGAAATCCCTGATAAAGGTATTTTCCAGTGGACTTTCCCTAAAAGCAGAATAACTGGACTTTGTTACCTACTGAAATATTAAAAAGATTATTAGAACTATAATTCATTGATTTCAGATCAAATGATCCATTTCTATCGTTATTTCTACGAACTTGGATAATAAACACAATCATGTAATTAAGCCTCACTACTTTTTATTTCATAATGAAATTAAGTAGGAATTGTGCTGTAAATTTTAGATTCAGCTTATTTTGCTGCTAAGTATTCTTTTTTTGAGTTAGCAAGGAAAAAATGAATTTAAAGGATAGTTGCAGAAGATAAGGCTGCTTTGTTCCCTAGCAGATGCCTAATAATTTTATTTTTCATTTAATTATCATCTGAAATTCTACAACACTCACTCTAATTACCAAGATAGTAATGAATTAAACTTTATGAACTAATATAGGAATTTCTTATAGAAGTACTCCCATGTGAACCCATGTCCTGAATTATAGGCTTGATATTATCACTTACATTAGGGATATCAAATACTAAAAAAAATTTAAACTTATTAAAATATCAAAATTCAGGCTTCACTTTTTCTAAAGAACAATATTATGAGTGGATAAATAGTAATGGTCTATGATTTTAAACAAATTTATCAGCCAATTTTATATTCACACAAAATTTAATCCAAAGGTTTAATATATAGATTTATCTTTGCACAATGAGTATGTTTTAGAAAAAACTCAATTGTAAGCTATCATTTCATTTTACTATTACATAGAAAAGTAAATAAAACACAATGGCAATACCAGCTGAAGTGATACTTTCTTCCAAGTTGCACAATGATTTTATTTGAGAGCCTAACCAAACACAGAGTTCTGAAAATTCCGGTGAAGACAGTCCACCCTCTGCTGCCTTAGTAAGTGCTTGCTCTTCTAACAGTGGTCCCTTATACCTAGAAAAGAAGACAAAAATTAAAAAAACAACAATACTCTATCAGGGTCTGCAGACTGTTAATAAATTTTTATTGGGATACAGTGAACAAATGTAAGACTGTGTCTTGCAGCTTTCACACTACCAATGGCAGAGCAGAATAGTTGTGACACGGTAAAAATATTAGGCTTTGCCGGTCTGTTTAAGAAATGGCTTATTAATTTCTGTTTTATATAAGTAGCATGTGGATTTCTCTGTATTTTAACATCTTTAGAAAAAATTAACCAGAAACTATTACATGTAGTAGAAAAACAGCAGAGCCTAAAAATCTTACACTAGTTACAAGAAAAAAGAAATTAGTGAAAAAAGACATAAATTATTTTGGATGCAAATTTTAAATTAAAAATCAAGCTGAAAAGGAGCTATAAGATCATTTTAACTTAAACAATTTACTTTCAGTTTTGTACTCCTAAACACCACTACAATGTGTATTTGAACAGAACCTTAAATTTTTAATTGTTTCATTATCTTAAGTCAGTAAGATACTAGCTTTTTTTTTTTTAAAGATTTATTTATTTATACAAGAATAGGGGTACAGGCCAGATGCACGGGAGGGTGAAAGGATCCACCAGAGACAGAGCAGGGAACAGAACAGGCAGACTGACTGAAATACACTGCTGAGGGGAGCAGCAGGAGAGACAGGAGAGGTCTGCACGCCATGTGGGACCCTCACCCGCCAGCCGGGATCAAACCCGTGCTGCAGAGGCTGCAGACAGCTTCACAGTGCAGCGCTCAACCACCTGCGCCACCAGGGAGGCCCAAGATACTAGCTTTTTGCTTCTGTTGTCCTTTTGGCAACTGTGGTATTTAATCTTTATAAACTTACAGATTTTAACATATGTGACAGGTTTTAACTCACTGCAGTTATTTTTCTTTTGATACTCAAATTGTCCCATCTCCTTCGTGGAAGCCCAATCATATTGGCCAATGAGTTCTTTGACGTATCCCTAGTATTCCTTGACTACTTTTCTTGCTTTATATGACAAGATCCTCCTACTCTATACCTGTCATCTGCCATTTCTCCAAGGAATTCTGGATTCTTTTTAATTGTAATTAGAGTACACAATCTGGCATTAAAGGTTAATCATGTTGGGCCTCCCCGGTGGCGCAGCGGTTGAGCGCTCGGTTGCGAAGCTGCCCGCGGCCTCTGCGGTGCCGGTTCGATCCCCGGCTGCTCCCCGGCCACCGGAGGAGGGTCCCACATGGCGCGCAGACCTCTCCTGCCGCCCGTTGCTCCCCTCAGCAGCGTACTTCGGTCCTTCTGCCTGCTCTGCTCCCCGCTCTGGTGAATTCTCTCACCCTCCCGCGCTTCTGACTGTACCCAGTGCATGTATAAACAAAACAAACAAATAAATAAATAAAAAAACATGCCTCTATAAAAAAAAAAAAAAAAAAAATAAAGTACCATATGCTTTAAAAAAAAAAAAAAAAAAAAAAAAAAAAGGTTAATCATGTTATTTGTATGTTTATAAAAGAAATTGCACCAGGAGTTCATATTTCCATTTCTGATTAAAATTTAGAATTGTAGGATTTTTACTTATTTTGTTTTACATTTTTACCTATTTTTCTTTTAAAATGATAGTTACATAACACTAGTATAGCTAAAAATCTATAAATTAGTTTCCCAGTAGGAAAAGCAACATAAAAAAAAAAAGCTGAAAACAATTTATCTTTAGAATATATTTCCCTTCCCTAATGAAGAATATGGAAAACCTTTTCTTTCCATGAAATTAAGCCACCTACTCAATATACTGACATGTTTCATTTTGTTTTTAGGGGTTTGTCTCCTTTTGCTTTATTTTTTTGCAATTATGGAAAACATTTATATAGTTTCAGGGTGTGTAATATACAAAATAAGGTCCATTCGCACAGATCTACCTTACAATCTTATTCTCTACTTCTGTTCCCTCCTCCTCCACAGGTAACCATATTTGTTAGTTCAAGGGTATCATCCCATAATGGTTTTCAATATTAATACATTTATCTTTTTTAAGTAGCTTACTACATACTTTTCTATTCCTTGCTTTAAACACATACACACTCACACATATATTTATTCCTACTGGAGTTCAATAAAGCTACTACTCAATCATTTCAATAGCTGCAGAGTACTCCACTGTCTGAAAGCATTATGTTTTATTCACTATGTCCTTACTGAAGGACATCTGGAATGTCTGCATTGTTTTACTATCATAAATATTTGGCAAATTTTTGTCAGTGTATTATGTAGGATAGATTCCTAGAGGTTAAGATTGCTGGGTCAAAGGATAAATAGATATTTAATTTTGCTAGATACTATTATACTTTCCTTTGCAGGGATTGTATCAAAGTTCCCTGAAATTCAAAGTTATCAAATATTTGGGTTTTTTTTGACCATTTGGTACCTCATCAGTATAGTTTTAATTTACATTTCTCTCAATATGTTTTTTTTTAAGATTTATTTATTTATTTATACAAGCACTGGGTCAGAAGCGTGGGAGGGTGAGAGAATTCACCAGAATGGGGAACAGAACAGGTAGACTGACAAAATACACTGCTGAGGGGAGCAGCCGGCGCAGCAGGAAAGGTCTGCGTGCCATGTGGGACCCTTGCCAGCAGCCGGGGATAGAACCAGGGCTGCAGAGGCTGTGGGCAGCTTTGCAGCCCAGCAACCGCTGCACCACCAGGGGAGGCCCTTTCTTATGTTTTAAGGCAATTTGCATTTCTTTTCTCTGAATTCTCTGATCATATCATGTAGGCGGAAGTTATTTTCAAATTCCCATTTTTGCAGTTAAGAAATCAAGGCTTAACAAGGTTAAGGATACTTTCCTATAGTAGCAGGTCAGGCACAGTGACCCTATCAGCTTGCCTCCGATCCAGCTTTCCACTTCTGCCTCTCAAATTCCTCTGCACCACCATCTATATATGGCTTTCCTAAACTGTCAATCTCTTCTCAGAAAGATTACCCACACCAGCTTCTACTATAGCTATTTTACTCTCAAGTTCAAGGTCAGATGGTAGATTGTTTTTGTCTCCTTTGCTTTCCAGTACCCCACTCACATCATAACTCCCCCATTGTCTTATACTCACTGTAGGCTCAGGACAGTCAGATTTGCCACCCACATTCTCTTGTGGTTTTCAGTCTCTTGTGCACTCAACATTCCCTATGCTCAGTTTTATTTCCAACCCTATTTCCGCCATTATTTTGCTTTTCTTCAGTCTTTATGTACACTCTAGCCAATATCTTGTTATCTCAATTCCCTAACTTCCTCTTTTCCAGCCTTCATCACTAACCAGGCCCTAAACGTAGTCATCATGGCAACTACTTCAGTCCTGTAATCATTAAATTAAAACATAACTCCTTCACCACAATCTACTATCTATTGTTTCAAGCTTCCCATTTTGACTACTCACCAACAACTGTTCTTTGACCTCATTTCTACTAACTTCCTCCCATTGGTCCCTCTACATTTCAGTATTTTTTACTAGATTCCTCCTCTCTTCACTTTCTCCCCTATCCAATTCAGACCCCAAGATTTATCATTTCATTTTGGTGCTCATACCTACTAAACAAATGAATCCTTGACATGATCATCTCCTTCAGGTCTAATCATCCAATCAATCACTAAATCCTATACTGTCCTTTTCTCCATATCCACTGCCACTAAGCAACCATCCCTCTTGCCTAGACTACTAAATTTGCCAATGTACTCTCCACCTTGATTACAGAAGGAACTTTCCAAACTTGACATTTAACTACCCTTTTTTTATTTAACATTCTTTAATCACAGCCCCCAACGATCACACCCCACATTAGGGTATCCACAGCATAGCCTAGAAATTATTGCATGCACAGGAGGTCACCTAACTCTATAATCTTCCACAACTTTGGCCCTCATTCTCTGCCTTCCTGCTACATTAGCCTCCTTTCAGTTCTTATACAGCATGCGCCTTTCCACTTCAAGTCCTTTCACATTGTGTTTTCCCTGTAAGGATACTTTTATCCTTTTTTCCCCAACCTCACTTAGTTAACTCCTACTCAACCTTCACATGTCACTTCCTGAGGAATCTCTCACTAATGGCGAAGACTACCTTAGTCCTTCCTGTCATGTTATGTCAGCCTGTTGTTCTCCTTTAAAGCATTTATTATAGTTCATAAATATTGACATGATTATATCTGTCTTTACTAGACTAATCTCCATAAGGCCTGGGACAATTATGTTTTGCTCATGAAAACTTCTCAATATGGAGTTGTACTCAAATATTTAAAGTAAACTTCCCTCCATAAAGGTGGTTGTCAACATAGGCTGTGAAGCTTTCTTAAATTATGTGTACCTGGACCATACCCCCATAGACCATGATTCAGTCACAAGTTCCATTCGTGATTCTGATACACAAGTAGGGCTGAGATCCTGTTTTACAAAATCAGATTGTCAAAACTGAAAGACTTCTGAAGTCATTTGCTTCAGTTTCCTCATCTGTGAGAGTAAAGCAAGTTATTCTTACCCTGTTCTCTCAAAGGTACCATATCACCAAACTGTACTTTCAATGTACTTTCACTTATTTCCCTCCCTTTAGTTTCCCATTTTATCTGAGAAACCTCTGCTAATATTTTAAATGTTTTACTCATAAAAGAAATGCATTATTAGCAACCTCATGAGTATCAAAATACATTGTTCAATTGCAACACCTCACATTTCACTGTCATAGGAAAATTCAAGCTTCAAAATCCTGTCCTCAGTAATTATAAGAAAGTATTTTGCTTTCCATATTGAGTAATCTATTTTTTTTAAACATTTATTTATGCATACAAGAGCTGGGGTACAGGCCAGAGATGCGGGTGTGTGTGTGTGTGTGTGTGTGTCCACCAGAGACAGAGTGGGGAACAGAACAGGCAGACTGACTGAAATACACTGCTGAGGGGAGCAGCAGGCGAGTCAGGAGAGGTCTGCTGTACCATGTGGGTTGCTCCCTGGCCAGCCGGGGATCGAACTCATGCTGCAGAGGCTGCGGATTGCTTCACAGTGAGGTGCTTAACCCCTTGCGCCACCAGGGAGGCCACATATTGAGTAATCTAAAACAAATTTTCACCTTGATACAAGATTATAGCAAACTTCACTTTTCAAAACACCTGTAATATAAACAAATTCTACGAATGAAGGAAGAAAAAGCACTGTCTCTTCCCTTTATACAAACTATTCACACAATCCTACTGTTAGGGGGAAAAGGATGTCCCAAAGCTAATTCCATATAGGCTTTGTGGACTCCACCCCCACCCCCACCCCAGGTCAAAGCCAAAGACACTGGGAACTCCAAATCCCATCACCACCAAAGGGAAGGTGGCTGGGACCTGAGGGTGGGGTTAAGCAGTCAGGTGGATAGAAAAGGCAGACACGTGGGCTTTGGGGGACCCCGTTTTGGGCTCTCCGCCAGCTCGCAGAGTCCGGCCAGCTCTGAGAGTGACTTTGGGTTTCCAGGTCGTCGGATCGGGTAGGACGCATTAAAGACTTTATTTCCCTATTTTCTCCCTGAGTTGTACATTCTCCTTATTTCCTTTTCTCTTGTAAATAAACCTTTTATTAACCTTTTGTGTGTGTCTGTAGCAGAATATTCATAAGTCCCCTTAAAACGCGCGGGTAAGGACCCACAGCCAGGAACCCGTTTAATATCGGGGCTGCTCTATAACACTACCATTCTTTTTCCATGGTGCTTTAAAGCTCAAATTGTTTGTATGCCTAAATACTTTTGTATGCCTAAATACTTTTACTAAGTATTTTAATTTCTTGTTTTAGTTACTTCCTTAACCAAATTAAGCAAAAAAAAAAAAAAATAAATAAATATCCACTGATTTTCACAGATGTCAAAATGCCCCCTACGTAAGCACTGGCTCTGTTCTTCATGTAATGAACATTTTATTCAGGGTCTACTAATAAGTGCAAAGTTCTGTAATACTTTATCATTGCAACGTAGTTATTATCAGGATCCAAAAACAGTTGATAAAGGAGCAAATACAGTTTTAGGGGCGAATAAAAGCAGCAGAAGAGTGATTCATAGCCTATTCTATGAAAGGAACTCCAGCATGTGGCAGGGCAAACATCTGTGCAGATGGCTCCAATCACTTTAATTAGCTAGCTGTTACTTAGCTGGTTCTATACTTTCTTCTGTAAGAGGTAATAAGGCTCATCAGTGCATTCTGTATACATTATCTTTGAACGATTTCTTCATACATTCACCTCATTCACCCAACCACTATTTACCGCTTCAGGGCCCATTCCTTGTAGAATCTTGCTGGTAACAAGATAGGGAAAGCACCTGTTTTTCCAGGAGCAGCTGGGGAGGTGGGCGGGGAATGGAGAGAAGGAGCAGTCCAGGGACAATAGATAAAAACAAGACTACAAGGGCCTCCCTAGTGGCACAAGGGGTTAAGCACCACACTATGAAGCAATCCACAGCCTCTGCAACATGAGGTGGATTCCCCCCCTGGCCAGGGAGCTACCCACATGGTGAGGCAGACCTCTCCTGTCTCCCCCGCTGCTCCCCTCAGCAGTGGATTTCAGAAGATCTGCCTGTTCTGCTCCCCGCTCTGTCTCTGGTGGATCCTCTCACCCCCCAACCCCCATCTCTGGCCTGAACCCCAGCTCTTGTATGCATAAATAAATACATCTTTTAAAACACACACACACACACACACACAAGACTACAAAAGAAAAAAATTATTTAGGATAGACACAGGGGCTGTGAGGGCAACTAGTCTCTCCCTCCATCTCCCCCTATCTTGCAAGCCTGGAATTATCACCCCAGGAGTTACAAGCACTTAGCATTCCGAATTGTAAATACCAGCGGGCTCTGCAGCCTCCACAGCAGTATAAACTGCCAGTACTCTGAAAACTTCCCCTCTGCCTGGCACATACACATGCATCAATGGATAAAAAACGAACAGCCAGTTCACACGGTCAGGAAAGTGGGAAAGCGCCGAACAAATGAACTTTCAGTGAATTAAAGCACTCTGTGGAGTCAAGGAAGCAGGAAAGGCGCGTTCCCGCGATCTCCCTCAGCAGCAGGGGGGACAGACAGGGGACAGACAGGGGACAGGGCAGGTGCCTGCACCCCCCCACCCCGGCGCGATGACGTCAACAAAAGTCTCCCCAGGCCCGGGCGGCGCTCCCCTGCGCGGTGGCCGCCCCGTCCGCCACACACCATGCTGGCCCGCTGCGGTGGCGGGGGGGGTTTCAAGGCGCGAGATTTAGGGGAGCGCCTCGTGCCCGTTTTCCAACCCGCCGCCCCCCTCGGCCCCCCACCCGCCCCCCAGCGAACCCCCTCCCGCCTCCTAACTCCGAGGGAGGCGAGGGCGGGAGGCCGGGAGGAGGCCCGCGCCCACTGCCCGGCCCATGGCGCCCCCAGGGGGGGTCTGCGGGGCAGGGCGGAGGAGACGCTCACGGGGACACTCACGGGAAAAGGCGTCCCCAGGAACACTCACCCCAGCGCCTCCAGAGTGTCCAGTACGTCCCCCTCCATCGCTGGTTCGGGGCCCGGCTCTGGCCCTCTCATGGTCCTGCGGCCCGAAGCCGTCCAGCCCGCTAAGGAGCCCGCCGGAAACTGGTGTCTCTGCATCAAGGTTCCGGGCGCGGTCTCGGCCGGTGCTGCCTCGGAGGGCCTGGGGCTGCACCAAGGTTCCTGCCTGCAGGCGATGGCGCAGGCCTGCAAAGCACAGTGTCATGGTAATAAAGGCTGTAAATGATAATACTGTGGGTAAACAAATGAGAGGCACAAAAGGCTTTGTGTTGGGTGTTAGCTCTGTGTTGAGATCAATCAGCCAAACAGGCTATTAAATCCAAGTGGGACACCAGCGTCAGTATACAGACTAACGAAATAGAATTAAATGTCCAAAAACAAACCTTCATAAGTGATTTTCAACAAGGGTGCCAAAATTATTCAAGGGGAAATAATAGCATCTCTAACAAATGAGATGTTGGATTTATATATATATATATATTTATATATATATATATATATATATAGCTGGATTTTTATATATATATATGTAATTGATTACAGATCCACACATTCAGGTAGAAAACCCAATCATGCCCCAAGGAGGGATTTTATTTTTAATAAGAATAACCCTTTTTTTATAGGCAGAAAAGAGGAAGATGAGGCAAGTGGTTCAACAGATAATATTAATGGGTTTAAACTATTCTTGGTTATAATAAGTAGTTAAAATATATATAATATTTATTATATATTTATATTATATTTTTATATATTATATATACTATATATTTTATATATACTATATATTTTATATATATAGTTACTCATATATATATATATATATGAGTAACAAAAGGCTTTATGTTGGGTGTTATCTCTGTGTTGAGAGAAACGGTGATTCACAAAGAGACTATTAAATCCAAGTGGGATACCAGCATCAGTATACAGATAGTGTGTGTGTGTGTGTATAGTGTATATATATATACACATATATGTATATATACATATATATATATATATGAGACCAGCTTATGAGATGGGACATCTCTTTATTACTAAAATCCTGAAATAAACAGTAATTATCCTCTGTTAGCACTGGCACATAATATGTACCTACAGATAACTTTTAAATCAACATATGTCACAATGTCACAACTTTAAGAAATAAAGGAATTTATAACAAAAATAGTACATTGTGAAATACAGAAGATCAACAAAATGGTGAGAGATTTGCATGTAACTAGTTTCTTTTAAACACCCATACAGGTCATGTGCTATATTGCTGACAAATATAAGAGTTGTCTAAGAAAAAAATGCCACAAAAAATTAAAGAAAAAGTTGCCATAGGCAGAGTAGTAGGCTAGTTGATGTGATTATGATTATCACAAAATTCTATCAAAAGAAAAATTCAGGAGATGTGTTTATTTGGGATCAAGTAATTGATTACAGATCCACACATTCAGGTAGAAAACCCAATCATGCCCCAAGGAGGGATTTTTTTTTTTTTTATGAGAGGATAACCTTTTTTTTATAAGAGGAAAAGAGGAAGATGAGGCAAGTGGTTCAAGAAAAGAGATAATAGTAATGGGTTTAAAGTATTGGTTATACATAAATAGTTACTAATTCTCTAAAAAGGATGGAAAGGGAATTGACTGATTCTATCTCAAACTATTTGTTTTCTTAAAGGAATTGCTTTTGACCCAGTCCAAAGGTGTTTAACCTATGAATCTGGAGACCAGTAAAGTGATTTCTCTGTAATGACTCCAGGTTCTGTTTTAAAATGGCTTCAGAGATATTAATTTTTCTAAGAAAATAATGGAATATCTTTAATATGCTGAAGAAACACAGAATTTATACAGTGGAAATACCACTGAGAAAAGAAAAATAGATTTTTCACACACATGAAAACTGATATATACTAAATTACTCTCAGGAGACCCACATGGGCAAGGGATTAAAAAGAATTATACAATAAAATAAAATGTCTCAGATAAAAGTACAATTAAAAATAAATGAAAGGTACTATTAAAAAAGATAAATATATGAGTAAAAATTAATGAATACTGACTGCAAAATGGCAATAGCAATGTCTTCTGAGATGCAGAGAATTCAAGAGGGGAGAGTTAAAAATAGTTAAGCTCTGAGATTCATCTATTGTCCAGGAATGGGTAAAATAACTAATATTGGATAGTGAATAGAAGTTTCATGTCACCAAACTTAAGGTAATCAAAAGAATAATGAAATGTTATAAAACAAGAGTAGTAAATGTAGAATGGAAAAACAAATCTAAAAAGTAAATCTGAAAATAAAAGTTTGAATCATTAGATAGCTAAGTATCAACATTTTACAGAAAAATAGGTATCAATGAAAGAAATATTAAGGAGACAAGTAGGGACATTTCATAATGATAAAAGTGTCAAATTATTAGGAAACTAACAATCCTAAATGTTTATGTGCTTAATAACCAACCTCAATATATATAGAATATATAAAATATATATGTAAATGAAAAACTTTAAGGAGGAATAGTAAAATCCAGCATTACAAAGGAAGCTCCGTAAGTATATTATCTTTCATTAACTGATGCAACAAGCAGTCAAAAAACACAGGACTTGGAAAACATGACTTATAAATTTGCCTGAATTGATATACATACATCACTGTTCCCCAAAATTTTAGAATTTGCATTTTCTCATGTGCTTATGTGTCATTTATAAAACTTGACTTTATACTGTGCCTGAAAGTCTCATCACATTCAAGGACTGAAATCATAAAAGCGTATTTTCTCATTACAGAAGAATTAAACTATGAATAAGGCAACAAAAATTAAAAAAATATTTAAGCAATACACTTCTAAATAACAAGGACTCATACTAGAAATCAAATGGTTATAGGAGCAGGAACCTACTGCTGGGGCAGACTGGGCGTGCAGGGAGTGCGTTCTGCATCGCCATTTTAGAACAGGGACATTTCATCAGTAAAGACTGCTTGAAACCAGCAGAAGGCTCCCGGAGGAGCCAGAGGGGAGCGGAGAAGTTCACCCATGATGCCGGCCAGTCCCAGCAACACAGTGTCCCAAGGCATACGGCAAATTAGAAAACAAACAGTAGGGAGTAGAAGAACCACACGCAACCTAGCAACTCCTCAGGAAAAAAGCACACCACAAAAAGAAAATCACCCCCCAGATTGCAATGACAGTAACTTGGAAGAACTTCTGAGCCTTCCAGAAAGAGAATTTAAAATTGCCATGATTAAAAAACTGACAGAAGTCATAAAGGAAAACAATAATCAATGATCAGAAGAATGAAATTGAGTCCCTAAAGAGGGAAGTAAAAGAAATGCAGGAGATCAAAGAATTAATGGAGGCACTAAAGAACTCTGGGAAAAGCAATGAGAGCAGAATAGATGAAATGGAAGAACAAATAAGTACTCTTGAAGACACGGAAAGTAAAAGAACCAAAACAGAAAAGGAAAGAGAAGTACAAAGGAAAAAGACAGAAGAAAGACTTCGGGAACTATCTGACTCCATGAGGAAAGGAAATATAAGAGTTATAGGAATACCAGAAGGAGAGGAGAGAGATGTAGGAACAGAGAAAATATTCAAGGAGATAATTGAAGAGAACTTCCCAAACGTGAAGAAGGAGCTGAAAATTGATATACAAGAAGCAAGAAGAACACCAAACTTCCACGACGAAAGGAAAAATACAGCAAGACACATAATAGTAAAGCTCCCAAGAATCCAAAACAAGGGAAAAATAATGAAGCTGACAAGAAGGAAGAAACAGATAACATTCAAAGGAAAACCAATCAGGCTGACATCAGACTTCTCTGAAGAAACACTACAGGCAAGGAGAGAGTGGAGGGACATAGTCAACAGACTCCAAGAAAACAGATGCCAACCAAGAAAACTCTATCCTGCAAAGCTCTCCTTCCTCTATGAAGAAAGAATAAGGACCTTCCCAGACAAACAAACTCTGGAATTTCATTACAACTAAACCCCCACTCCAAAAAATACTACAAGGAGTCCTAAAGCCAGAACCTCAGAGGGACGAATAACAATGAAAGAAGGCCAAAAAAAAAAAAAAGTTATTGAAAGAATAAATAAATAAAATCAAAGGAAAAACAAACACAATGGCGAATACAGATGCTAACAAATCAATATTAACTCTAAATGTAAATGGACTAAACTCTTCAATAAAAAGACACAGAGTCGTGGGCTGGATTAAGAAACAAAACCCAACCTTTTGCTGTCTCCAGGAAACACATTTAGCTACAAAAGATAAAAACAGATTCAAAGTTAAAGGATGGAAAACAATCCTACAAGCAAATGGACCAAAAAAGAAAGCAGGAACAGCTATACTTATATCAGTTAAAACAGATTTCAAACTCAAAAAGATAGAAAGAGACCCCAATGGTCACTACATTATGATCAAGGGGACAATACTTCAAGAAGAAATAACACTCATTAACATATATTCACCAAACGAAGGAGCACCAAAATATATCAGACAACTATTGTCATCTCTGAAAAACAGACATCAGAGAAAACACATACGTAGTGGGAGATTTCAACACACCACTATCAACAATGGATAGATCAACGAGACAAAAAATAAGTAAAGACACTAAAGCTCTAAATAAGGATCTAGAGCGCTTGGGCTTAACAGACATCTATAGAACACTAAACCCAAAAAAAAGCAGAGTACACATTTTTCTCAAGCGCACATGGATCATTCTCCAGCATCGATCACATACTGGGACACAAGACAAACATCAACAGATATACCAAGATCGAAACCACACCAACCATCTTTTCTGACCATGAAGGCATCAAACTAGAAATAAACCATGAAAAGAAGGCAAGGAACTCTCCTACCTCATGGAGATTGAAAACCACACTACTGGAAGACCACTGGACTAATGAGGAGATCAAAGAAGAAATTAAAAAATTATTTGAATTGAATGACAAGGAGGACACCAATTTCCTAAATGTATGGGATGCAGCAAAAGCAGTAATAAGAGGAAAATATATAGCAATAGAGGCTCACATCAAGAAACAAGAAAGAACTCAAAGAAACAACCTAATCTTGAAGCTCAAAGATCTAGAAAAAGAACAACAAAAAAACCCCAAAACCAGTAGAAGAAAAGAAATAATAAAAACCAAAGCAGAAATAAATAAAATTGAAACTAAAAAACAATCCAAAAGA